TTAAGTGGCACACGGAGTATAATTAAGTATCCTACAGCCTGGCCTCAAAACACACCCAGAGAGGCAGGGCGATCAGCTCCCACTGAGTTCTGTGATAAACTGGCCTTTACTACACCCAGGTTTCTGAGTCACAGTGAACTTCAGGCTCCATACACAGCAGTTGTGAGCAGTGGATTCCGAACATGATGAGCCCCTGGTCCTGGCATGTTAATAACGAAGAGATGCAGGATGCTGCCTGATTCTGGGGTGCCTCCCTGATGGCGAACAGTGGGTCCTGCCCAGGAGGTCAGGTTAACCTGGTTTTACGGACAGGCCTGGGAAGTGGTGGAGATGAGATGCCCCTGCTTCCTTCGGGGAAGGGCAGTTTTGGATTGCTTCTAAGCTCCACAGCCCAGCCTACAACACAGGGCTGGGCACTGCACCCAGCTAGCTTGTGAGGCAGGATGGGATCATCTCCGCCCAGGGTCCTGCAGGGACACTGCGAGGTCAAGGGTCTTCCTACGGATGAGTCAGCGGAATGGTTTCCTGTAAGAGTGGACTTAACCTAGTTACCGCCACATGTGGACAAGGCCATGGCCAAAAGCCCTTCCCACGTCTGCTGCTCCGAGGCAGGTTTTCCGGGGGTGAATGCCTGCAGCTGCTGGGCTCAAGGGCCTGGGCCAGAGACCACTCCCACTCCTGTCCCCACCCCCAGACTTTGCCTGACACCTGTCGCTCGCAGGCTACATACTTTGATTCATGCTGACACTTAAGGAGTTATAAGTTCCAGACTTTTGTGTCCGAAGATCACCCATGTCTGTTATTCAGCAGGCCAAGTACTTTGCTGGGAAATCAAGAGTGTGATTCCACAAAATGAAGTTTAAAAAATAGGTCGGAGCAGGCAGTATCTGGGAGACCCCTGACATTCCCCCAGCTACTCCTTACTCCTACAAGTTGGGGTCTGGGTCCCCTAGTCCTTCCCCCACCCCCACGTCTCTCCCAGGAAGCTCAATCTTTCCTCCTACACACCAACGCAGGGCCTAGAGAGAATCGAACAAACTTCAAAGTTATGGGATGCGGCGGTCATGAGTTCCCCTCCTAGCTTGGATGGAATCAATCTTTTAGTTCAAACTCTCTCCCTCCTTTCAGGCAAAGAAAAAAAACAGAGAAATCAGGCCAGCATTCCAGGCAGCTGCCAGATCTACCCCTAGTTACACTCTCAGATCTCCACACAGCACAGCCACAAGAATGATCAGGAAACCAGTTAGCAGCTTAGGTGGAAATTAATGTCACCCACACACACCACAATGACAAGTGAGCTTCTGAGACTGGAGCTTGCTAGTGGGTTCCTCGACCCACCTCTATTCCCCAGAAAGACTCATAAAGGCATCTCCCCCCAGTTCAGATATGCATAAAGACCAGACAGTATTGACTGGCATTATTACATGGGGAGGCGCGAGAGGGCCCGGGACAGATGCCTACTTCTTTTTCTGCTTTAATCTATGGATTCCTCAACGTTCTCCAGCTCAGCCTGTCAGTGACCAGAAGTAAAAACTCACAAACTTCCCACTCAAGTTCAAATCGATTTTGTTTAAGACCTGAAAGCTTTCACCAGAGAGGAACTGGCGCGGAACTGGCCAGTCTCGTGCCAGCTACTGGAAGCTGGTTTGTCACCGATGTCATCGATGAGGTAGGCCTGCCAGAAACCAAGCTTCTCTACTCCTGGCTCTCTGTCACGCGTCCACCTTTCTCAATTTAGAGACGACGCTGTTACAAGCCTTTGAAATCAAGAACCTGTTTCAGCAGGGTTTCTCAACGTTGGCGCTCCTGTCATTTGGGCAAGATAACTCTTGGTGGTACAGAAGGCTGTTCCGTGTGTTACAGGGTGTTTAGCAACCATCCCTGGCCGCTACCTACTCAGTGCCACTAGCATCTGCTCCCCAAAGCCTGGCAAAGCCTCTGATGCTGCCCAATGTCCCTGGGGTGCTGCACGGAGGGGAAGGGGAGAGAGAAGGGTTAGTCACCCCCAACTGAAGAGGTGCTGATGCAAGCTTGACAAGATGCCAATAGATACTCTGGGATTCTCCTGAGGACTTGGGCAGGGGAGATGTGGTGTCTGGGTGCTGAGTTTTACATACGTGTCTATCTGCATATATCTGGTTATCTCTTGTTTCAAGAATTAGAAAAAGCAGGCAGCTGCCACAAGAATGCCCAGGAGGGATTTCTGTTGTTGTCGTTTGGTTTGGGTAAAATTATCCTCACTTTTCTCAAACTGTAAAACAGGGTTTCCCAACCTCAGCACTGCTGACATCTGGGGCCCAGTGCACTGTAATACAATTAATTACCTCCAAGTTTTGACAGCCAAACATGCCTTCAGACATTGCCAATGTCCTCCAGAGAGTGGAACTGGCCCTGGCTGAGAACCACTGTCCTAGTGGAAGACAAATGCCCCGCAATCCTTGGTGTAGAAAGGGGAGTATGCTGACCCTTGGGCCAGATAAAGTGAGACTGAGACTGAGACTCACTGAGACCAATGGAGACTGACTGGTTTAAAACATGTTCACGCGGTGAACCTCAATATATATTACGACTTAACCGGAATGTTACCTGGCCCAGACGATCCTATCCTGAGGGCACAGAAAGAGGACGAAGGAGGTGTTTCTTTTTCTTTTCTTTTTTTTTGAAGGAGGTGTTTCTAAAGTCAAGACAAGAAATACACAGAGAAGTGGACACTTCCAGATCCACAGTGGAGGTCTATGGAAACTATTGCAGAGGGAATGGAATACAGCCAGGGTGATTCTTGAGAACACAACTCAACACTGACTTGGTCACGAGGCCAAGACGGCGGCTCTCAGAGGAGGATGTGGCCATAGTGGCGATTCTTTGGGAGTGGGTCCCGGAATGTCGAGATAATAAACTGATCTGAACCACCAGCTTATGCTGCACTGAGCTTTCCAGGTTTTAAGTGCTCCCCCAAGTGCTACATTCAGGTCTGAATGTAGGCCATTCTTCCTTCCCTGAGAGGACAAGGCTCAAGTGGACACCCTGAGAGGCCCAGCTAGTTCCTCCAGCGCAGTGGGTCTGCTGGGGGCAGGATGGGCTACCGGCATGGGCCCTTGTGCCTGAGAGTGGGGAGGGGAGGGCTTCCAGAGACCCGTCCATAGGAAGGAACAAGGTGGCCCAGGAGTTCTTCCAAGACTTATAGTTCTTACAGGAGGGGCTACATCAGTGTCCAAGATAGTGAGCAGCACTGCAAGGTGCTCTGGTCAAGTGTGCAGTGAGGCAGAGCAGAGGGGGAGGTAAAGGCTTGCTGGGCCAGGTCACTCATTCCATCCTGCTGTACTCTCAGCAGGCCTGTACTCTCAGCAACAACCCTAGAATCCATCTAGATTAAGTTTCTCTTCCTCCAGTGTTTAGCCTGGAGTCAAGAGACAGACCCCAAATATCTTTAGCCCTGACTAGGATCATTACTTTCCCCCTCAAGGGGCCAAAGGTCCTGGCTGTGTATCACTGGGGACACACTTCTTTTCCCTCCCACTGGACCTCTCCAAGTCATGGGTTAAAGTCTGGTTTGCCAGCACTGCCTAAAGGATTCCTATGACCATTGCTCGTTCCTTCCTGGAGTCTATCCATACAAACTCCAAACCTAAGATTCTTACGGGATGGAGGAATCTGGGAACTTTTTGGATCTGAGCCTGTAAACTGAATTTTACATTTGCCTAGTTTTCTGAAGAGTGGATCCACTCAGCTCTCATCAGATTTGTGAAAAACGGGGCCTGGAATTTCCAAACCACCTATTCTGTCCATCACAAGTAGAACACTTAAACATTCTTGGATTCCACGTTCCACTTCTGGGAACTTAACCTGTAAAGCCAATCCTACCCGTGAGCAAAGATACTCACTATTCATGACAATACTGTTCGTGGCAGAAAACTACTTGAAACAATCTAAACATCCATCAAGAGACAACTAGTTAAAAAAAAATCATGATTGACTTTATGGAACAGACTATCACGTACCCATTAAAAAGATCCAGGAGGAGGTAGAGGAAAAGCAAAAGAGGAAAATGAAATACATGACATCTTATCTCTTCAAAAGAACAAAACAACACAACAGAATTGAGCAGTAGGCTCTAGTGCTGTGGCTCTAGGGGGAGGGGGGAAAGAAGAGGGGGTTCCCCTGAAGACATCTGGCAGCATGGGGAGACATTGGTGGTTGTCACAACTGGGGGAGCTCCTAAATCGACGGGGAGGGGGCCGGGGTGTTGCTCAATGCCCCACAGTGCCCAGGATGGCTGCCAGGACAGAGAAAGACCCGAGGTGGAGAATTCTGACTTTAGTGCGATCTCCAAGACACAGTTAATGAAAACCAGCAAGTACATGGTTCTATGTAGACCATGCTACCACTACGTGGGGTTTTTTAAAGAAGAGGCATACACTTCTCTTTGGTAACTGGGGACAGTCTTGTTTCTGGGGAGAGGGACTGGATGTCTGAGGAACTGAAGTGGGAAATTGACTTTTCACTCAACCCTTTCAATTTTGCACCCAGCCCACTGAGAAGGCTGTTTGTCATCTTTGGGGGAAAAAAAAGAATTGCTCTAGACGCAAAATTTCCCTGCCCCTGGGCTCTCTGTGTCGACAGCCTGGACGGCTTCTTCCTCTTCTCTCTCTCCGCTCCCTCCCTGACCTTTTAGAGGGAAGGACAGGAGGCGAGGGAGCCACGACCGGGAACAACCTCTGGGTGCATCTCTGCTCCTCTTCACCGTCTGCCCACCCTCCTGGAGGAGACTGGAGCCCACATGGCGGACAGAGCTTGGGCGCCCTCGCACGCAGTCCCTGTCCCTCCTAGGCTGTACCCACCCTGCGAGGGACGCGTGCCAAGATCGCCCCCTCACTACCGCCGGTCCCCTCCCGAGTCAGGGCCAGGCCTGGCATCGCCTGGCCCCCTCCGAGCAGTCTGGGCCCGGGGCTGGCCGCATACACCCCCCCCCCCCACCCCGCCCCGCCTCGGCCTCCGCTCACCTGGCTCGCCTTGTAGAACTGCTTCTTCAGCCCCGCCACCGACATGCTGCCTTCCACAGTCGGGCCTGCCGCCCGGACCCAGCGAAACGGAGGGACCGCGCAAGCGACAGGTTTCCGGGCGCCACCAACCCCCAGCGCGCCTCAGCGGGCCCCTTCGGCACCGCCTCCGCCGCCCTCAAGCCAGCTCCGCCCGCCCCGGCGCCGCCTCAGACCCTCCCGAGCCCGCGCGGCCAGGATATTACATGGCAACCGCACACTTCCGGTGCCGGCCCCCGCGCGCGCACGCGCGCTCTGGGCCCCGTCTGCGCACACGCGCCCCCTGCCGGCGAGGGAGTGCACGCACATCCCGCCTGCTAACCGAGAGGCCGCCTCGGCCTATGAGTGGACCGGAGCGAGCCTAGAGGTGCTGTAGTGGCTGCAGCGACCCCTGGAGTCCCGGAGGTGGCCCTGACGTCTCGGGAAAAGCGCTTAGTTAGACCTTTTCGCAGAGGCTGGGGAGGCCAAGGGGCAGGTAGAACTCCAGAGGCTGAGTTTACAAATCTTCAGATACCTGCTCGCTAATCTCAGCTATATACAGTTCTTCTGTGGTCTTCCATCACCTTCCCTTCCAGTCCCGTGTTCATTCAGTTGCCCAAACCAGACATCAGGTTATGACTTGTACCTCCTTTCTGCTACCCAACTGTCTCTCTGCCCGGATCAGACCATTCCACCAGTCTTCTCTCTGGTGTGCCCAGCTTCAGGTTCTCCCCTCCAGTTCATCCCTTACAAGGCTGCCAGAAAGATGCTTCTATAACATAATTCAGATCACATCATTACCCTGGCCTATTCTAAGGCCAGTAGTATTGGCTTTAGAATACTTCTAAGGCCTTCTTGACATGGCCTACAAAGCTTATAAAATTTGGCCCCCTCACCTTTTCTGACTTCTATAACCCATGCTCCTTGTTACCTATGGGCTTTGCTAACATTATTCCTCTCTTGCTCATTTTCCCCTAATCTTTCCTCCCGTCCCTTGTGCATTAAAGAACTCTATTTGTAATGTCACCTCCTCCAGGAAGGCTTCTCAGATTCATACATGCTTACTGCTATTGATTTTTTTTCATCAGTTGTTTTTTGTTGAATGAATCAAAAGTTAAGAATGAATCAAAGTGAGTAAATGAATCCAAAAAGAAGAACAGGGTTGGGGCCAGTTGCACAGTGGATAACAAGTCTGACTACAAATTGTAAGAAGAACAATAAAGTGACTAGAGCTAAAGTGCTTGCAACTTCAGTGTTGAAATCTCTGACAGAGTTGAGTGATTTTGTGAAGCAGAGGATTGCTGAAAGTTTACAAGTGCGTCTACAGAAGGCACTGGACTAGATCAGATGATTGCTTTAAAATATACATGACCCAAACTTTTTCCCTAAGATCCTGATGGGGCTATTACGAATAGTGTGAAAAACCTCCCATGTGATTTTGATGGGTGCCCTGAATGGTGATCCACCAGCCTAAATCATTTCAGGTGCCAAAATGTCAGAGAAAGAAAGAAAAATATCCTAAAGGTTCAGACAAGGAAACTGAGACCTTGAGTAAGACATGACTTGCCCAAAGTGATGTCCTATTTTTCCACATTATTTTCAACTAACCCTACTGATGTAATTACCCAATCTACAAGATAAATAGAATTCTGAAATTGGACTAAATTAATTATTTGCTTCTCACTTCTGCTTTGCTTGAGAAAGTAAATTGGTGCTGAAGAAACCTTTTCTAAGGCTCGAAGACTGACTCTGAAGGTCTCTGTTCCATGTGAAGCTTTTAACTGACATGATCATACAGTTCAATTAAATGATATTTATGTATTCACTCAAATATTTATTGAGTACATACTAATGAATAAGTCACCAGTAGGTCCTGCAGATACTGTGATAAATGATTCCTGTCCTTATGGAGCTGACGGTAAAAACAGAAATGAATTCACTAGCCAATTACATGCTAATAAATAAACACAAGCTGTAATTGTTCCAAGAAAAAGAACAATGTTGTAGCAACTTCATCTTGGAGGCTGGGGAAGAAAGGCTTCCCTGGGATTTCAATCTAAGATCTGAAACTTAGGTAGAAATCAACCAGGGAAGGAGCTATGGAAAGTGTTTCAGGCGAAGAAACAGCATGTGCAAAACCCTGAGGATTAAACAAGAAATATCCATTTCATTCATTTCCTCTGAATATATACATCGCATCTCAAATACTTTTGAAGCGATTCCCAGCGTTTATTTTGCTTTTATTGTTTATATAAATTATAATTTTAATTACTGTGGCTATATCCAACCTCTGTGCAATTAGCATTAAAAAATTAGTCTTCAGCATAATCGCAGTTTCAGGCTGTCACCGGCGCGCTGCGTAAAGCGTTTCGTCGTGACGTAGGAGCCTGTCTGTCCTGCCTCCCACAGACTTATCACACGGGATCAGCCAATCACAGTGTCGAACACTCAACTTGACATCACCCATCACCAATCGCAGGACACCTGCTACCCGTCAATGACAGACCACAGTGAGGAAGCCCCGCCCTCCACTAGAATATCAATAGGGGAGCCCTGGAAGGAATGGAAACCTCTGTTCTCGCGATGATGCTCCCGGCGCTCCCCTCTTCCCGAGTAGGGCCGTCACGTGACGCGGCATCACCCAATCGCCGCGTGGGCCGCGGGGGTCGCCGCGGTTCCCGCCAAATACGAGCGCGGCGGCCGCGGCAGCAGCGGCGCGGGCGGGAGGGCGAGCAGCAGCGGCCGCCTGAGCGGGGCCCGCTCCTCCGCCGCCTGAGGGGAACTCGAGACGTCGCCCGCGCAATGCTGGAGGAGCCGGAGTGCGGGGCGCCGGGCGCCCGGGGAGAGGCCGCAGGTCGGTTCCAGCCCTCGCAGAGGGAAAGGGGGGTCGCGGCGCGCGGCCTGTGCGGGCCGAAGCGGCAGTTGGGGGCAGACTGGCCTCCTGGCCTGGGCCCACTGCTCTGCATCTGGCGTTGGGTCCGTGGAGCCGTTACAACCCTGGGGAAGGGCCTTGCGACCCGAAGGGCACCCCTTGACGTTATTGTTGCAGCCACGACCATTTTTTTTTCCGGCGCTTTTACGTCAGTTCGTCCTTCCAGAGCGCTTTGCGGTGACGGGTGTGTGTGTAACCCGGAGGGGAAACTGAGACTCAAAAGAGGCGAAAGGGCCGGATTTGTTGGTGACCGAGTGCGTTTGTGTCCCCCGGACAAGTTGGACCCTGCAGCGGCGCTATGGCCGGATGGGGAAACTAAGGTCCGGGGTCCCACGGGGTCGGGGGACCGGAACAGCTCCGTCTAAGGGTCAGGGCTAGTCCAGGTAAGAGGCCCGGGTGGTAGGGGTCCCGGGTTCTTGATGCTGCCGGATATGCAGGAAGACCTATTTTTCTCCTTCCTGTGTCTTGGGAGGGGGCTTTCTGGCGCCTGGCAGGCCCCTTACGTGGGGTGGCGAACTGAGGAGGACCAGACGGCCTGTCTCCCCTACTCCACTCCCATTTTGCCCCCAGGACTTGGCGCAGTGCTTGACACATAGTAGGTGCCAGTAATTAACTGGTTTAATGAATTAAGTGTTGGTAGGGACATCTGCTAATCTAGTTCAGAATTGATACTGGGGGCCATCCTGTGCACTGTAGCAGCATCTCTGTCCTCCACCAAAGTCTGGATAAGATCTCAGTAGCAAGCCCTTCTCATCTGGGACAACCAAAAATGTATCCACTGTCAAGGTGCCCCCTAGTTGAGAAGCACTGTGCTAATTGCTTCCAGACTTTGGGATTTCAAAGAGACAGAGAATTCATATAAAGTTGGGGCTGATTGTCATGGACAGTCATTGGACCCAGTATGGATGTTTAAGAAATTTACAAAGCACCTTCTGTTATGACCAGGCTATCCTAAAAGGGGAGGATGTTTTAATGCCAGTTAAAATTAGGAGGGATATAGTCTCAGAATAAAGAGCAGTGGTAAGTTTGTACAGAAGTGTTTGTTAATTGCACATATACCTTTGAATAGACTTGAATCCCTGGATGGGATCCCTTTTTATGTCGACCCGAGGTCACCTCTGTTCTGCCTGCATCAAAGCTGGTGACTCAGGGCCATGCGAATAAATCCTTGTGATTGTCTGAAAATTAAGTGGCTAAAGATTGTGTATCCTTCAACAGGGGCGGGGAGGAGTTCATGTTTTTGACAACTGAAAACTTGGGAATAATACTATCTTGAAATGGGAAGAAAGGAAATGTCTTCTGGGTACCTTTCTTGTATTTCTAGCTTGGAAGCAGGTAGAGTAGGTTCATCTATGGGCAGTTGAGTTTTTTTAGAAAGCCAGGGCCTGATTTTTAAAAATACCCACTCATATGTATCTTTAAAAAAACAAAAGAATGTAGGTTAGCCAAAATAACTAGACTTTTCCAAGCTAGATCTAGCAGATGTCAGCTTCTCAACTTATTCTAGCCATTTGAAGATATTTATTCAAGGACTTAGTTCTGTTTATGGTCATTTCTGTACCAGTTTTGATACTGTTATGTCTTTTTTTTTTTTTTTTTTTTTTGCGTATTTCTTTCCCCCCTGTGCAGGAAAATATCCTCCCTTATCATTTCTTGACTGTGCTTCAGCTCCAACTTGGCAGGCTCGAGATGCTTGTATCACCTTTTATAAACACTATTTTAAAAGAAAATAAGCCCCATACCAATTGTACAGATTTGTTGGTGGGGAGGGGTTGGATTGGAGGAGGATGTTTGGGCTCCTATTATGGTAAAATCAGCTGATAAAATGTTTTCTCTCATCTCTAGTTTCCTTACTTGATTTCCTACTACCTGCCAGGCCCTGAGCCCATGTGTGGAACAAGTCTGTGTACTGTCACAAAGCTGGTGTTCTGATGGGGGAGAGACAGAAACGCAAAAGTCCCATGTGTGCTAAGTGCTCAAGGGAAATAAAACAAGAAGATGTGACAGCATTCAGGGTAGAATTTCTCAACCTACTGACATTTGAGATCAGATAATTCTCTGTGGTGGGGAGCAGTCCTCTGCATTGTGAGATGTTTAGCAGTGTTCCTGTCCCTTACCCTCTTGATGCTGGTAATACCCTCTCTCCAGTCATGACAACCAAAAATGTCCTTTGTTGTTCAGTTGCTCAGTTGTGTCTGACTCTTTATGACCCCATGGACTGTAACTTGCCAGGCTCCTCTGTCCATGGAATTTCCCAGGCAAAAGTACTGGAGTGGGTTGTCATTTCCTTCTCCAGGGGATCTTCCTGACCCAGGAATCGAACCTGTGTCCCCTGCATTGGCAGGCAAATTCTTTACCACTGAGCCACCAGGGAATCCCAAGGATGGGGGTGGGAGTGCCCAAATCAGGGCCAATGGACAACCACTTTGTGTAGTAGGTACTGTATTTTCTGCTCCGTTGTTTCCAGCACTTAATAACATATCCTTTGACATTCATTCACAGCCATGGATTGCAAAGACAGGCCAGCTTTTCCAGTCAAGAAGTTAATACAAGGTAACTCTGGGAATGGGTTAAATATTTGTTCCTAGCTTATGTCCTTCATTGTTTTCTCAATTACTATATTTTTCATTTCCCTTGAGCAGAGGCAGGCCATCTCCTGGGGTCCTCATCAGAAGCATCAAGGGGGTGGAGGGGAGAAGACAGTTGCATCTTACATTTGGAAGCTGGGAAACCCATTTCACTGCCTGCTGTTCCCAGGACCAAATGCAGAAGTTGCTGCTTTTACAGCTGGATTCCAGCATATTGACTTTGTAATATTTTTTCTCATGGAGGAAAAATATACTGTACATTCTATATACTGTAGAGCAGGGGTACCCAACCTCTGGGATCTAATGCCTGATGATCTGAAATGGAACTGATGTAATAATAGTAAAGTGCACAATAAATGTAACCGTCCCCTCACCCTTGGTCCATGGCAAAACTGTCTTCCACGAAACCTGGCCCTGGTGCCAAAAAGGCTGGGGACCACGGCTGGAGAGAGTTTCACAGGCATCCTAGCCTCTGCTCTCAAGTTGTCAAAGGCAATAACATCCCTTGATGTTGCCAGATGTCCCCTTGCAGGCACAGCTGTCCCTGGTTGGACACCTTTTTACAGGAAGTGTCTCAGAATCCTTTCATGCAAAAGGGAGGAATGAATTTACTCTTAGGCCAGATTAGTGGCTGGACTATATAAAAAGGGTGGTTTTTGGTTTTCCAAGCTTGGTTATCTGGTTCCTCTGTAGCAGCTGGCCTCCTGTCATGACTTAGAGCAAGGTTGGTGTTGGTAGGAGTTGTATGAAGGGCAGCCACCTTCTGAGGTTAAAGGATTAGGGGCAAACCATAGAATCCGAGGGCATGATCATCTTATAAACTAAGCCAGAAAAGGTTTATGTGTTTGGTCTACATTAGAAGGTAGTTAATATGATGTTTGGGTGTTTGAGTACAGGCCGACTCTGTAGGAAAGTCATCCATCTGCATTTCCTCAGTCTTCCATGTGCCTGTCTCTTGGAACCATCCAGAAGGTTGACATGCAATGGGAGGATACTTGTTTCATAGGCAAGAAAAGCTAACAGCCTGGAGTGCTAGGGGCAGAACAAAATCTTTCTGCAAATGGATCTGTCTCTTTAGCTTTTGGAACCAGATGCACTTATCTTCACATGGGATTTCCACCCATAATAAATAACTTTAGAATTTGAACTGGATCTCAAAGAGATCAGAAAGTGTCTTCGAAATTCTTGCAAAGTCCCTGCTCTAAAAGCTTGTCAGTGTTTGGGGATTTTGTTTGTTTTCCATTTCTCTTTTTGTTTTTGTTTTTTTGTTCATTTGTTTTTGCTTTTAAATAGGTTGTTGGAAAAGTCCATAATGAAAAGACTTGTTGTTTTGTCACTAAATCGTGTCCAACTCTTTGCAACCCTATGGACTGCAGCATGCCTGGCTTCCCTGTCCTTCACTATCTTCTGGAGTTTGCTCAAACTCATATTCAATGAAAAGATAATCCCTTTTCAAACTTTAGACATCCTCCTCACCCCCAAGTACATCAAGGTTGTTCATTTTTTGAGAACATGGAATGTTAAAGTATTGATTGTCGCTCTTCACACTGTCACTTAAAAGAGGTCCTCCTTCTCTTCTGGTTTCAGCCCGACTGCCATTCAAGCGCCTGAATCTTGTCCCCAAGGAGAAAATTGATGATGGCTTGGACGACACAGGGGGCTCTCGGGGTGGCCCTGTGCAGACTCAAGTCCACGACTTAGAAACCTCTTTGGACCACTTGGAGAACTGTCACATGGGTTCCAACATAGATTTTAGGCCAAAACTTGTCAATGGGAAGGGACCCTTAGATAACTTTTTAAGAAGTCAAGTTGATACCAGTATCGGCCAGACTGTGGTCATAATCGATTTGACAGAGGACTCGAGCAACCCCCTGGACAACATGGTGGGCCACAATAAACTGAACTCTGTAGCCTCCCCTGCTCAGAAGAACATAAATGGGGTCCCAGACAAAGCTGGAGATGACAGGGGGCTGCCAAAGCCCAGTCAGAAGGACGAGCTGGCGAGTCCCGAAGAGGCCCTTTCAGAAGTTCCATGCAAGACAGAGGCAGGGGGTGCTGACTCAGGGGGTGCAGACAGGAGAGAACTCGCACAGAGGGGCTCACCCCAAAACTGTCCTGAGCTGACTGGTGGCCTGAGCATGTGCTCTGAGAAGGACCGGGACGGCTGGAGTGAAGCCGGGGGCATCCTGTTCAAGGGGAAGATGCCCGTGGTCGTCTTGCAGGATATCCTGGCTCCCAGACCGCCAGCCAGTTCTCCTCCCGCCACTCCTCCGGGCCAGGCTGTGCCTTCTGAGAGTGAGACGCCGGAGTCCAGCCCAGAAGAGGACTTGGCACTGAGCCACTCGTCCTTGAGCTCATCCTCTCCCACCAGCTCCCCCGAGGGGCAGTCTGTGCCCACAAAGCTGCATACAGGCCCCAGCCCCCTCCCCGCCTCCACACCCGTCTGCAGAGTGAGTACCTCCCCCAAGTCAGGGCTGCCTGAACCTAGAGGCTGCCATCCGGCCCCTCACTCTTCACCCAGGGATCCTGTGTGGCCCAGCTGGCTAGTGGCTGAGTGAGTGCGGCCACAGATGAGCTCCTGTGACCTGCGCAGGTCCAATGCAGAATTCTTTCTGATATCGAGAGCCACTGAATTGTTTATATTTGTTGTTACTGCAATGTGCACCAATGTGTGTGTCCGTGCCTTCCTGGTAGCCTGTTCACACTTAAATAATGATGCTGTTCACCTTAGCCACACTAGTGACTAATGGCTGTGATCCTCAAGTTAGTCTTTATATATACATACATATATTTTTTTAGATGTTTATTTGGTTGCACGGGGTTTTAGTTGCAGCACGTAGGGTCTTTGATCTTTGTTGTGGCATGCAGGATCTGTAGTTGCAGCATGTGGGATCTAGTTCCCTGATCACAGATCAAACCCGGGTCCTCATGCATTGGGAGCACAGAGTCTCAGCCCCTGGACTACCAGGGAAGTCCTTCAAGTCAGCGTTTAGCTTCTGCTCCAGGCACCACTCCTATTCCAACACAGGAGTCATACAGCCATTGCTGGTAAGCATTCAGCGTTGCTGATGAGACCCAAAGACGGCAGGAAGAACAAAACAGGGCATCCTGAAGGGTCAGCTCTCATGACTGCCTGTCTTAAAACCTCACCTGGAGAAATGAGAACAGAAAAGACCTGGCTCCGTGTTTAAGGACCCAGGCAGGTGGCTTTGGAAATTTCTGTTTCTGTTACTGGCTTCCAAAGGACATAATGGCAAATGTCTCTCTTTTCACCTGTCCTTGAGATCCTATGGGTAGAACTGAATCAATTAGTCAAAAATCACAAAGCATATTTCACAGTATCTGTGGTTTAAGGGTTTTGTAGCACTTGTATGTGTTCATATTGGGCTTTCACGTAAAATTGGATCCTAGAGTGAGTTGTTCATTTTCTGCTGTACCTGCTTCATTTGACCATAAACCGCCTACCTTGACTGCTTCCTGAAATTCCCTAGCATATTAGCTATTTTTCTAGATGATTCCATTTCTTTTTTTTTTGATGATTCCATTTCTTATCTTTTATCTCCCAAGGAGATTGGAGAATGGGGAAAGTGGCTTCCTCTTTAGGTTCACAAAATATCAATCAAGTGCAGGGTCATCTTTTTTCCTTCTGAGTTTCTAGATGTGTCAGACTGCGATACTCTGCTTTTAAACTCCCATCTGAGCCGTCACCCAGACTGTCAGAACCTGAGTTTGGGTCCCATGCCATCAGCCATCTTGTTCTGTTTTGACCCTCCAGTCGCACAGAATCCTTGTTGCTTCTGCTTTGCAGAACTACTTTGTCACATGACTGATGACAGCCAGTGAGCCCAGAGCATAGGACATGTACACGTTTTCATATTCCTTCATAACTTTGTTTTTTAAGTTTGTTTTTATGCCCATAGCCAGGTCCCAGGACTGGGAGGCCATGCTGTTGGGGCTTGTCAGAAAGCAATGCTACTTCCTGTGCACCGGCCTAAATGCTGTAACCCAGCTGAGCGCGTGGACCAGGTGTGCTGAGTTTATAAATCCTGCCTCTGAGACCACAATCTGACTCCATATACAGGCTTGGGGTTTTAGATGTTCTAGAAGACAGTGTTATCACTCAGCTTTGCAAACAGTTCATGCTGCAGAATTGCCCCAGTCACCCACAGCAGGGGATAGAGCCCCCTGATGCTGGGCGACACTACATGTGTGAGAGTGAAATGGAGTGACCACCAGGAGATGCCCGAGGGCCTCGCTGGGGACAGCCCAGCTCGCCTCACACACTCAGTTTCTGGTTTTCTCTCCTCACCTTTCAGGAGTGCTGGATTTCCTGAGTGGTTGATTTTTGTGTTTGGTACCTAACATTAACAACTTTCCCTGCCATGGGCCGAGGTTCTTCCTGACCCCTGTTACTGTGGGGAATTCTTTTTTTTTCCATTTTGTTTCTGCCTTCTCCTCTCCACATTGTAGGCAGAAGCTCGCTAAAGGCTTGTAGATTGTTTCTTGTTCACATGTCGTGTGTGTGGTTTTTTTATTGGGCTCAATTTATCCTGGACTTGGCATCATAAATCTGCATTGGGAACCCCCAAACATTAGATGGTCCGTGCATGCGTGCATGTGTGGGCAAGGGGGAGATCCAGCTTGTTAAAATGCAGATCATGCCGTCCCTTCATCTAGAGAGTCTCACTTTGAAAAACCACTTAGGAACACCTTTTCTAGATAAACCCCAGGTCTCTTGACTAGTCCAAGTGTGGCTGTTTGGCCTCAGAGCTTTTACCGCCTGGGATAGAGCTGTTTCTCCAGTTCGTTTGCAGAGAACGGTTTGATTAGTGTTATTGATGACTCAGATGTCTGTTCCCTGAAGGACTGTGTGGATACAGTGGTGTTACCAGAATCTATGCCTTGCCTCTGTACAGTTGCTGGAACTCTTCAAATTATATTAAATTATGGTAATTTAAGTTATACAAGTATTAAATGCTCTGTTTTTTAAAAAAAGAGTCACTGAACCGTCAAAGCCCCTTTTGGCTTTTTCCTGTCCCCCAGGTTGCCACTGTAGTTGTCTTATTTTGCTCTGTGTGGTATGTATGTGAGGGATCCCTGGGAATATACAGTATCATTTTGTTTCCTTACATGAGCCTTATACTGTCAATATGTTTCTTTTTTATTTCAGGGTATGTTTAATTGTATTTTACACTGGGATGGGAAGATGTATGTCTTTTTAACTGCTGTACTGTATGCAGATGGTGTGGATAAATTGCAGTTTGCATAGTCATTTTCGTTGATAGATATTTCTTTCTTTTTTTTTTAAGTATTTATTTATCTGCCTGCACTGGGTCTTAGTTACAGCCCAACGGATCTTCCAGTCTTCTTCATTGTGGCATGTGGGATCTTTAGTTGTGGCATGAGAATGCTCAGTTGCAACATGCGGGATCTGACCAGGGATCAAATCCTAGGCTTCCTATATTTGGAGCCCTGAGTCTTAGCCACTGGACCACCAGGGGAGTCTGAACGGATATTTCTGTCATCTCTTGCTTCTCAGCCTTGATGGATGATAATTGTCCTGAGCTTCCCTGAGTGGTTGTTCAGCAGAAGTGCAGGCTTACAGGACTGGTCATGTCAGTGTCTGCATGCTGACAGCCCCCCACAGTCCCCCACGCCTGGGGCCTTGCTCTCCCTCCCCTGCTGTCAGGGTACTAGCTGCTGTGGGACCTCCCTCTCCTCACCTTGCACCTGCTCCTGCTCTGGGCTTAGAAGTTAGACCTCCTTCTGTATCATACCAGACTGAAGGGGCTCTGAAGTTCTCCCGAATACAGTGCAGGAATTTTACTGCACAGATGTGGCTACGTATGTCTTGGCTCTTGGGTAGTTGATGTATCTGTTTTAACCTCATACTAGAATCCTGGGTCTTATTTTTGGTAGCTGAGCTCCAGATAGGGCTTCCCTGGTGTCTCAGGAGGTAAATCTGCCAATGCAGGAGACACAGGTTCAATACCTGGGTCAGAAAGATCCCCTGGAGGAGGGGATGGCTACCCACTCCACTCCACTGGAGAATTCCTTGGATGGAGGAGCCTAGCCTGCTACAGTCCATGGGGTTGCAAAGATTTGGACACAACTGAGTTGCTAACACTAACTCTTTCCAGATAAGTAAAATGTGTGGCCTGTATTTTGAGAGTTCTATAAATACTTAGGCCAAATATCAAGAAGATAAAGTTATAGCTGTTCAGTAAGGTTTATCCAAATGTCTGGTAAAGCAGAAGAGATAGTTTTAAGTGAAATTGCAGTTGCTATAATTGTTGGGTATCATGATGCCAGCTTCTGGTAGTCATGTGAACTCTTTCATTCCTGGACTCACGGCACAGGGTAAGATTTGGAAGGGGCCTGATTCTGCAGCTGAATCTCAACAAGTATGGGCAAGACCAAACAAACAACGTCTTCCTCCACAAATGCCCTGTTACAGCGGGGTGTGCCAGTCACGTTTCGTGCTGTACTCTTCGAATACAAAGGACAGTGACATAGATACAGCACCTTCCAAACCCTGCTACCTATTCCTTTGTTGTGGGGGTGAAGTCTGCAGGTTTGGCAGGCAGAGTGGATGCTTTTCCTTAAGCACTTGGTTAGACAGCTTTGGTGTTTCTGTGGGCACCTGGCTTAGAGGGGCGGGGTTGAGCACTCTGCTAGTCACGTGGCTTTCACATGGCCAGGCTTGGCCCTCTGCTGAGGGAAGGCTTGGTCCAGAAAGGACTCAGTGTGTCCCTAGTAAGAAAGGTATCTTATCTGTATGCGTTAATCTGTAGGAAGTCTTAGGGCAGGTGCCCTGAGAGAGAGAGAAAGCACTCTTTTCATGTAGTTCTGTCGGTATGTCAGACAGTTTCGAGAGAGATGGGCTTTTGATTTTTCATCTTGTCTCATTTCTTGGCTGCGAAAGATGAACCCGGGCAGGGAAGGTGGGTATTTCTTTCCAGCCCAAATTCTCCCCACTGCTTGTCCAGTTAATGGTGTGATTGCCAGGATACCCTGTTCTGGAGGGAGCTTAAACCACTAGCCCGGACTTCTTGTGCGTATTCCTACCGGGGGCCATTTGCCAGCATGGTGAGGGAGCCCAGCCGTGTGTCTTGGTCTGTCCTTGCAGCCCAGGCACAGTATGCAGCAGGGTGATTGAGAACGCTGTGTTCTAGAACATAGGGGTTCTGGACTGGATCACCACTTCTGGCCAGGTGACCCTTTATCCTGGATGTTCCCTCCATGTTCTAAGAGGCAAAGCTGCAATGGGCAAGGAGTACAAGTTTGTGGCCCACGGGAATCCAAGCCCACATGTCTTCCTTGAGTCACATGGTATTGATTTGTAGACATGACAGGTAAACCTCTGAGCTAGTGCAGATTTGGTTCCAGATTCCCCTGCAATAAAGTGCATGTCACAGTAAAGCAAGTCATGTGGCTCTGTTGGTTGCCCAGTGCATGTAAGTTATATTCACACTATGCTGTATGCAGTAGCATTATATCTTAAGAAAGTACATACCTTAATTAAAAAAATACTTAACTGTGCAACTTCCCTGATGATGCAGTGGTGAAGACTCTGCTCTCCCACTGCAGGGGAAGTGGGTTCGATCCTTGGTCAGGGAACCAGGATCCCACAGGCTGCACAGCGTGGCCAAAAAAATAAAAACTTCACTGCAAAAACTGCCATCGTCTGAGCCCTCAGTGAGTCGTGGTCTTTGCAATAGTAACATCAAGGATCACTGACCACTGATCACCATACCATGAATAACAATGAAAACGTTTGAAACTTGAGGATTACCAACATGTGACGCAGAGACACAAAGGGAGCAAATGCTTTTGGGAAAATGGCGTTGATAAGACTTGCCCAATGCAGAGTTGCCACAAACCTTCAAATTTTTTTGTTGTTGTTGTTTAAACGCGTTATCTTGGAAGCAAAAGAAAGCAAGGTGTGCCTGGACTCACAGAAAACCTCCACTGTCAGCCTTCCTGGGGGAAAGTAGAAGGAGCAGCTGTGCAGGGCTGCATGTCTGCAGGACTCGGGACTCGGCCTCCACCGTTGCTGCTCTGGGTCGCCCCAGCTATGGCTCTTGATACCGAACTTGGCCTCCATTTCTGGTCATCTGCCTTCCAGCCTCCCTTAGTATCTCCACATGCACATATATGTGCTTTCATTGGAGCTCATGACCCACCCAAGATGTTCTGGTTCTGTTTGCAGGAACCGGTCACCCAGAAAGGTTTCCATTGTTGTTTTGCAGTGTTGGCCCCCACCCCACCCTGACCTCCCCTCAGGGACCGTTCAGTGTTAAATGTGTTGAAGTGATTGAAACAACCCGTGTTCTCATTTCAGTGTCTTTCCTTTCAGATAACTAAGAAACTGGTCAGAGGCTCTGCAGAGAAGAACAAGATGAAACTGCAAAGGGTAAGGTTTGTCCCCTGAAGTAGTAGGTTCCCCAGCTGCACTCTTGGCAGTAAATGGGCAGCAAAGCCCTTTGCATGTCTCTGACCCCGTTTTTCACTTTCCCCTGCTCGTCCTGGGCAGCATTTTGGTTCTTGCTTCATTTTACATAACTGGGCCTTGTGTTTGTAGCTTGCATCACTTTAAGATTTGCTGAATCCTGAGGTTTCGCCTGTAGTCTTTTCTAAGCTTTTACTAGAATCAGTACTGTCATAATAGTTAAGCATCCCCATTTTAGGGTTTTCTTTGTCTTTTTTTCTATTTTTTGGCTGAGCCACTTGGCATGTGGGATCTTAGTTCCATGATCAGGGATTGAATCCATGCCTCCTGCAGTGGAAGCTTGGAGGCTTAGCCATTGGACCACCAGGGAAGTCCCCCTCGCCCCCCCCCATTGTAGTTTAAAATTGCGTTAAAAAGAACCCAGTTCCTCTCCCTGCGCCCCGTGCTCCTACGGGCAGATCGAAGTCACATCCCTCCTGAGGCACTGTAACGAGGGCCCTTACACCAGATGGGTGATTACTGTAAAGGGGTTCCCTGTTGAGTCTTCTTTTATCTGGGGAGTCGCACTGTTACACACAGCAGTGCGGGGCCTTCTTTCGTACTGAGTGAATTGCAAAGAAGATCATGGACTCTTCACCTGTCAGCACCAGCTCAGGGAAGGGCCACCCATGACAGTTGGCTATGTGCTCATCCTTTTGGCTGCGTTCAGTTTTTGTGTTTCAGGTTTGATGGCTTTAATGTTTTTTAAATCTTTATTGAATTTGTTACAGTGTTGGTTTTATGTTTTGGGTGTTTTTTTTTATGGCCACAGAGGCATGTGGGATCTTAGCTCCCCAACCAGGGATTGAACCTTCACCATCTTGCATTGGAAGCAAAGTTTTAACCACTGGACCACCAGGGAAGTGCTCCTGATGTCTTTTTGAAAGTTTATCTCATTCTTTGTTGGAATTTCAGAACTAGGCACCTGTTTGGCAGGTGTGGCTGAAGAGGTCTGATTTATGCCTGATTCCAGAAGTTTCCTGTCCTCGCAGTTAGCAGCGAGGAGACCCCCCCACCCCACCACTCTGCAGTTGCTGCTGGTTTCCTCACCCTATTACTTGATCAGTTACTCAAGCCCCTGCTCCAAGTGTCCCACGAGGACATTTGGCAAGGACATTCTCAGGTCTCTATCAGCGTGCTTCCATGGCTTTTGTGATAGGGAGCAAACGTTGATCAGGGCAGGGTGTTCTCTAAGGACAAAGGCACAGTCATAGGCCCAGACGGAGAGCTGAGCTGTCGGACTCCTGCCAGAGGTGGGAAGCCTATGATGGTTCTTGTCCTAAAGAATTACCCAGTGCTGTGAGAAGGTAGGGCTTCCTCAGTGGCTCAGTGTACGAAGAATCTGCCTGCAGTGCAGTAGGAGACACAGGAGTTGCGTGCTTGATCCCTGGGTTGGGAAGATCCCCTGGAGAAGAAAGTGGCAACCCACTCCGGTATTCTTGCCTGGAGAATCCCATGGTCAGAGGAGCCTGGTGGCCTACCATCCTGAGAGTCGCAAAGCCTCTGACACGACTGACCATGTTAGAAGGTACCGCCCCTTCTGTCTGAGAGCTGGAACTTGTTCAGTGTGAATGCCACATTATATAACAACTCAGTGCCCCAGGCCACATACAAATTCTTGAGAATGAGGAACCGATAAAATGAGATGTTCATGCTTCAGAGTGGTCTCCTCCTGCTGCTGCTGAGGAGGCCCAGGCATTGTCATGGATATCATGATGTCTCTTCTCAACCTCTGACCTTCTTCTCAGATCCTGAAGAGTGTTTGTTTGGTTTTTTGAGAAATGGTTTTAGAAATTTAAAAAATGTTTTCTTTTGAGAAATGGCTTTAAAGATTTAAAAAAAAATTTTTTTTTATTATGTTTTTTAAATGTGTTCTCGTCTGTTCCCCACTGTTTTAAAACTTAACTCATCAGGTTTCCCGGCCTTGCCTCATCCTGCTCTCCCATTTCAAGAGAAATAAACCCTGTTGTCTAGAATAGTTTTGGAGGGAATGGAAAGAAAATGTCTTTTGGCTGTGGCATGCCAGGATCTTAGTTCCTCGACCAGGGATGGAACCTGTGCTCCCTGCAGTGAAAGCGCAGAGTAGTAACCACTGAGCCGCCAGGGAAACTCCAGGAAAATGTTTTTGTTTTGAGGGCAAGGAGGCAAAACCTACAGGTGTTTTAAATGTGTCTTTATTTTACCACACTTTTCTGAGCAAATAAATGTTACTCTGACCCAACAGCGGGTATCCCATGTAGGCAGCCGAGAAGGACTTACTTCATTTGTTTTAATTAAGTAAAAATTGACCCTCATTCCACACTTGAAAATGGTGTCTTAAAGGCATCTTATTGTTAATCGCCCATGAGGCCCTGTGGCAGCCGGCCAATCCTCGTGGCCTTTCTCAGGGCGGGAGGAGATGTAATGGACCAGATATTCCCTTCTGTGCATGTGCTGGCCGGCGGGCCTCACACCTCCCTGTCCACCTGCACACAGCCTGCCCTCCCTGGCATCCGCCCGCGGGGCTAAACTGTATGCCATCTCTGTGCAGGATAAGGAGCGTCTGTGGAGGCAGCTGAAGCTCCAGGCCGAGAAGGAGGAGAAGGAGAAGCTGAGGGAGGAGGCCAAGAGGGCCAAGGAGGAGGCCAGGAAGAAGAGGGAGGAGGAGAAGGAGCTGAAGGAGAAGGAGCGGCGGGAGAAGCGAGAGAAGGATGAGAAGGAGAAGGCGGAGAAGCAACGGCGCAAGGAGGAGAGACGCAAGGAACGCCAGGAGGCTTTGGAGTGCGTGCCCCGCCCCCTCTATCTGGGGCCCCACACCCTCTGCCCTGTCACACACACACACACACACACACACACACACACACACACCCCCACAACGGGCATCAGTGCAGGCCTGGGCCAGCCTGTGTCACTGAGAGTGATGTCTCATAGGGCAAAGCTGGAGGAGAAGCGGAAAAAAGAAGAGGAGAAACGGTTGAAAGAAGAAGAAAAGGTAGAATGTGTTTCTAGATCACACACCTTCCCGTATGTTTGAGAAACGGGGCTTCTGCCTGATTGCTGCTGGATATTGCATGTCCTCCCTGAGGTGGTGGGGTGGGGCTGGGCAGGACTAACACTCCTGTAACTAGGCCGGTTGGGGTGCTGGCCCAGCCCTGCCTAGCTAGCTGTCTCCTCCTCTGGTCCCTCTGCCCACAGGAGCAGCTCTGACCTTTGGAGTTGCCTGATACCCATTTGTGGGTTTGGCGATCTCACATTAAAATAATGCTTTCAATGTAAAAATGATTGGAATTCAGTTACAGGGGCTTTTGCATGCTTAAGTTCTCTATTTCTCACCCTCATCTTTGCATTGCAGCGCATTAAAGCTGAGAAGGCCGAAATCACGAGGTTCTTCCAGAAACCAAAGACTCCACAGGCCCCCAAGGTGAGCAACTCGCTTCCTCTGGCTTTAATTTTGGTCTCTGGCTGTACTGTTTGAAAAATAAAGAGGCATCTTCTGACCCGGTGGCTCTGCTTTTATTGAGAGGGACATCCGCTGGCCCTGGGAGCTTTGATCTCCAGTAGAATTTGGAGGTTCAATTCTTATCATCCACTGCGCTCAGAAAGGCAAAAAGTGGCACATTTGCTCAAACTACCAAGTGTTTATAGAGGTTGTGCTGGGATCCGTGAGGGAGAAAGACCAGTCTTCACCCTCAGGGGAAGTCTGCTCAAGATAAGAGGCAGGAGTGAGCGTAAAACAACCCATGGGATTCATCCAGCACAGGATTCTGCTGCTTGTCACCTTCTAGACCAGGCTCTGCCTGTGAAAACCACAGACCTCTGTCCCCACCCTCCTCCATGCTCCAGAGGTGCAAGGGTGTCCTTCCAGTTTTTTAACTGAGTATGTTTGTGTATTCATGTACCTAACAAATTATGAATTTATTGTTTACCGCTTTGCTTAGTTGTATTTTGGATTCTTGCCACACTGGCCCTTTTTTATTCTTTTTCATTGCTGCAGTACCATGTCATGGTGTGGGTGCATCATACTTTATACCCCCTTGCCATTGATTTCTATCCCCACCCCCCAACAGTGCATGGGTATCTCAAACCTCTCTGGACCTGACTGATGGGTGAAGAAAAACATATTTATTTCTCTTTATGTTTCTCCATGATTCTCGGTGCAGTTGAACATCTCTTTGTGTTCTTATCATTTTATTTATTTTTATTTATTTATTTATTTATTTTTCTGCCAATTCTTGTTTTTTTGTCAGGTTAATGCAGGATTGGCTTTCTTCTGATCTCTGGCTCTTTATTATCTTGGTTTTCGTTCTTGGTGAGGTGTCTCCTTTGACACTGGGTCCCATGTCCGGTGGCTCCTCAATGCCTGCTGTGTAGGTCTGTCACACGGTAGGCATAGTGGTGCCATCACATCCCTTCTCCGTTTCAGACCCTGGCCGGTTCCTGTGGGAAGTTTGCCCCTTTCGAAATCAAAGAGCACATGGTCCTTGCCCCTCGATGCCGGACTGCCTTTGATCAAGACCTCTGTGACCAGCTTGACCAGCTCCTCCAGCAGCAGAGCAGCGAGTTTTCCTTCCTGCAAGATCTGAAAAGCCGGCGGCCGCTCAGATCTGGGCCCACTGTGCTGTCTAACCGGAACACAGACCTCTCTAACAGGTTAGTTCCGGGGGGAGCTGCCGATTGCCCTTGGTGAAGTCAGAGAGTCCTGAGTGGCCAAGCAGAGCCCTGGTCACTACTGGGTCCCTTGGCCTTGACTGGTCAGCTCCCTCCCTGGCCTCAGGCCCCAGATTCCACTGCTCCATCAGCTCTCTCCTGGCTTCACCTCCAAAGTCTCCCAGGTGTGGTGGCCTTGCAGAAAGTCCTGGCTCTGGAGTGCAGGCTGCCTGTCCTAGGTCCCCAGACTCCACCCCCCCCCACCCCCCACCCCCCCCCCCGCCGGCTGGAGCTGACATCTAGACCACTTGCCTGGAGGACTGCTCCCCAGCTCTTGCCCATGTACTTGTTTTCACATGCCCGCTTCTGTGTGTGCTGTGGGGCAGCAGCTCCCATCTGGTTCCTCTCTCCTTCTCGTGCCGTGTTCCTGGAGTAAACGTTGGCCTGCTTTAGGGCTGCCTGTCTCTAGTGCCCACAGCCTACCCCCGGGAGGAAGGATGCTGTGGTGGGCGATTGCACCATGGAGGGGCCTTCTAAGCCAGGCTTTGTCTCCAGCGATGTGGTGATTGTGGAGAGCAGCAAAGTGGACGGCGTTCCTGAGCGGAGAAAGTTTGGCAGGATGAAGCTCCTGCAGTTCTCCGAGAACCACCGGCCAGCCTACTGGGGCACGTGGAACAAGAAGACGACAGTCATCCACCCAAGGGACCCCTGGGCCCAGGACAGGGTGAGTGTATGGGCACTGCTCCTACTCCTGCGTATCCTTTTCAGCATGGCCTTCTCCCAGGGCCCTGGGGATCCACAGAGTTCTAGCTTTCTAGCTCTGCCATTCCCTCCCGACCCTGGAGACGACAGTGACTGCTGTGTGTGTGCCCTCAGGACCTCCTTGACTACGAGGTGGATAGCGACGAGGAGTGGGAAGAGGAGGAGCCGGGAGAGTCCCTCTCCCACAGCGAAGGGGTGAGCATGGCAGGGGCCTGCAATTTCCAGCCAGAGGGCTCCCTCAGACAGCATCTCAATACCGGATTTATAGCTATTCTTGGAAAACCTTGTTTGGTGACACTCACCTGCCTGGTAGTGGACAGGGTAGCGCCCAAATACTTCTGGGTGGGCCCGCCTGCCTCCTGCCACACCCGCTGCCTTACTCTGGGCCCCACTTATCTGTGTTCTGCCTGGCTCTCCACCCCCACCAGAATATAGTGGGCTTGTAAATGGAATCCTGGCTGATCCTCAGGGTGTCCGTAGAAAAGCACTGGAAGGCTGTTTCCTTTTTACGTGTTCACAGGTGAATTATAAGTAAAGCACATGTTGTTTCCACATGTTATCATTGTGCTTTTTTCTCTTGAGGACGATGACGATGACGTGGGAGAGGATGAGGATGAGGATGATGGTTTCTTCGTGCCCCACGGGTACCTGTCTGAGGATGAAGGAGTAACCGAGGTGAGAGGTGGACGGGAGGTGACCCGGCCAGAGCTTGGTGGCTGCTGACCTGGGGGTGGTTGCGTAGGTCCTGGCCCACCCTGCAGCCGATTCCTTGTAGACCTCACTTCTCAGGCTCAGCCTCACCCCTCGGCTTTCTCAGTTCTGCTGGTTGGTGGCACTTTCGAGGGAGCCATTTCCAGAGCTCTGAAGGCCTGCTGGGTCATGGGGAGATTGGCAGGTGTGACCGTGCCAGTCACACTGGCACACAGGTCACACTTGGGGACCTGTGTCCTTCATACATTTCCAACCAGCGAGGCAGATGGGTCTTGTCAGGCCCACAGTGTATCTGGTTTAGACAGCAGCATCATTCTGAGGTGAGAGAGGTCCAGCATGGTGATTTCAGCTCCAGGATCACATGTTAAGCAGAAAATCCAGAGTGGTAATAAGAGGTCTACTGAAGAGGTAATAAAAATACCTGTGACTCTCCAGTGAGGGCTAGAAAGGCAGGTGCACCTAAGATACTCGAGGGTGAAAATGCCAGTTATTCACTCTGAAAACACTCTCTGCCTGTATTATTGCCAGTCAGGTGCCATCCACACTGGCCCTGAGTCTGTGAAGAGCTCTGCCCGCCTCCCATAGGCTGTCTCACTGTCCCAGAGGAGGGAACCAGGGAGCAGGGATCCTGAGCAAGTGTCTGCTTTCTAACCTGCCAGGAGTGTGCCGACCCGGAAAATCACAAGGTGCGCCAAAAACTGAAGGCCAAGGAGTGGGATGAGCTTCTGGCCAAGGGAAAGAGGTTCCGCATTCTCCAGCCTGTGAAGATCGGCTGCATCTGGGCGGCCGACAAGGACGGCAGTGCCGACCTAAAGGTGCTGCAACAGTTCACGGCCTGCCTGCTGGAGACTGTGCCCCCCGAGGAGGAGCAGACGCCCAAGGCCTCAAAGAGAGAGAAGAGGGACCAGCAGAGTGAGCACCAGCTCTGGGCGGGGGCGGGGTGGGAGACTCCCTCGGTGGGTGGCCAGGTAACTCACAAGTTCTTCAAAGAAACAGCCAGAGCCATTGCTTGCTGGGGAGGTGTCCTTTCTGTGATGCTCTTGAGAGCTGTACAGGGTGGCTGCTTCAGTCAGCCTGTTTCCCTGATGGTCACACACATTCTTAGCTCTTCAGAGCTGGGAGGACCACTCAGAATGGGTGTATGAAGGCAGTTACTAAGGAAATGAACACAGGAGGTGAGGCCTGACAGTTTATTCCAACCAGTCCCGCCTCGTGAAGTGTAGGCCTCCCAGAGTCTCTCCTGGAGCAGTTCCTGTGTTTAAATCCACCCCTAAGCAGCCACCCGCACTAAACCTGTGGTGGTGGTGGTGATTTTGCGATGTAAGTCAAATCACTGCTGTGTGTCAGTTACGTCTCAGTAAACCAGGAGGAAAACAAGGCCACCCAAAGCAGACCGTGTCTCAGCCTCCCAGGGGCCGTGTTCATTCCGTCTCCCCCTGCTCCCTCTCCCCGCCAGTCCTGGCCCAGCTGCTCCCACTGCTGCACGGGAACGTGAATGGGAGCAAGGTGATCATTCGGGAGTTCCAGGAGTGCTGCCGCCGAGGACTGCTCAGCAGGGACGCCGGCAGCCCGGAGCACAGCGCCGCCAGCCCCCCAAGCCCTGGCGCTGCCCGCCCACAGACCCCTACCGCTGGCGAGGACACAGCCGTGCCCTCCAAGGCGAGGCTCAAGCGGATTATTTCTGAGAACTCGGTGTACGAGAAGAGGCCCGACTTCAGGATGTGCTGGTACGTCCACCCACAGGTGCTGAAGAGCTTCGCCCAGGAGCACCTGCCTGTGCCCTGCCAGTGGAGTTATGTCACCGCGGTGCCCTCGGCCACCAGGGAGGACAGTGGCAGCGTCCCCGCCCCGGGGCCTGGCCAGGGTATGCCTGTCTCACTCAAGAGGAAGTCGGCGGGTAGCATGTGCATCACCCAGTTCATGAAAAAGCGCCGGCACGACGGGCAGGTGAGACGCCGCCATGGCTTGTAGTTTGTAGCAAACGTTCCTTTTAGGGCATGTTTAGATTTATGACAAAACTGAAGTGATGGAACTGACCAAAATGGAGGCCTGGGTGTAGAAGTTTCCCCACCCACCAAGCACCCCCAGCAAAGCCTGCGTGACTGTCATAGCTGATGAACCTACGGGGACGCACCGCTGTCACCCATACTCCAAGGTTTACTGGGTGCGCTCTGGCAGCTGTGCGTCTGTGGGTTTGGACAGATGTGTGATGACGTGTGTGGCATCACAGTGTCGCACAGAGCCATGTCACTGCCGTCACATCCGTGGTCTGCCTGTTGGTCCTTCCTTCTTTCTACCCTGGGCTGCCACTGGTCCTACTGCTTCCACTGGCTTTTTCAGTTAGTTGTGTGCCTTTACACTTTTTTCTTGTCTTTTCATGGTTTGACAGCTCATTTCTTTTCAGTGCTGAATGATGTTCCATGCAGCAGCTTCTGTTTAGTTAGTTTTTGTGTTCATTTAACACAGTTACTAAGGGCTTACTCCATGCCAGGTATCCTGCTAGGCCTTGTAGACAGTGGTGAGCAAAACGCTATCAAAGGAGAGGCAGACTGGATTCCATGGTGGGAGCAGCCATGTAGCTGTATCCTGATAGCACATGGAGGAGGAAGCATGTGGCCCCATGTAGACAGGCCATGTGTTGGGAGGGCCTCGCCTCATCTGGAGGCAGGTGGGCTTCCTGAGAGTCGCTGGTCCCCAGAGCGAAGGCTCCCATGCTGCCTGGACACATGGAGGCTGGGCCTCCGCCTCAGCCTTTCCATGTTTGATGTTTGTTTCTGTTTCTGGTGTGTGAATGTGATGGGTTTAGTCTCCTAGCTGCTCTCACCGGAAGCCTGGTCTTGGTTGTGGGCACCAGTCCTCACTGAGGACAGTGTCTCATGTGGCTGAAGATCTCGGAGACTCGAGTTTACGAGGGTGAGACAGGTGTGGTGATAGCTGGTCTCTCGCTCACGTCTGGGGCCCTTCTAGGGTGCTGTCGCTCCAGGAGGTACTGCTGGAGGCTGGGGGTGAGGGAGAAAGAAGGGAGCCCACGTGTGCTCCCCATCCCCCACCCCTGCTCCTGCCGCGTATGTGGGGAGGATGGGCAGGCGGTTGACTCCAGGAGTGACGCCCGCACACAGATGAGGCTTGGGTGCGATGGAAGCCTTCTTCCTGAATCATCACAGCAAGAGGGAGCCAGGACAGTCCTGTGCAGTCATGGTGGCTGTCCTAGCCACTCCCTGACCCTGTCCCTGTCAGCCATGGACACGGCTCGATACAGTAGCACCCATCTGGTTAGGAGTCAGGGACCCAGCCCCACAGACAGTTCCCTCCCTGGGCCTGGACCCAGACCAGGCCCTCATGTGTTCAAGCTGTGCTGAGCTGCAGAACCTCCTGACGGTCAACATCATCGTTAGCCAGACGGTCTCAGAAGACTGCACCTGTGGATGCTCAGGTTGAAACCAGCTGGGGAGCCAGTGTGAACGTGGCCAGGGCTGGAAGGACCCTTTGGTGTCCTAATCCAGGCAGGGTTTGCAGACTGCTGCCCTCATCAGCCCTCTCATGGGGGACACAGCCACCTCGCTGAGTCCCCTCTGCTCTTCTTCCCCTCTTAACGGCGTCCACACATGTGTTCACAGTCTGTGTCTCTACATGGAGAAAGATGGGTTAGCCCTTATCACCTGTTTCCTCTTGCACTTGACGTGGATCCCTGTCCTCTGTTGCTTTGTTATTTACTGAGAAAAAGTGCACCGCAGTAAACTGGAGGCCCCTCTCCCCAGGTAAGAGGGGTTGGTCTGTGAGAGTGAGTGACATGGGACGTTTCATCTGATGACACGCATGAATAGCAGTCAGTGCTATTCAGCCTTTCCCCGTTCACAGGCCTCAGAGGGGCTCCGAGGTGTGGCAGGATCTCAGAGGGCCACACGTCTGGTGGTTCTGGGTGTGCTGGCCCCAGTGGTCCTGATTCAGTGGGTCTAAGAGTAGGTGCTAATGTCTGCACTTTAAAAGCCCCGTCTTGGAGCTTCCCTGGCTGTCCAGTAGCTAAGACTCCAAGCTTCCAATGCAGGAGGCGAGGGTTCAGTCCCTAGTCAGGAACTAGATCCCACATCCTCGCTTGTAACAGCACTTGGTCCCCTGGGACCATGTAGGTATCAGGGATCGTAAACACATGGAAGTTTGTCTGTAGCAACAGGAAGTCCTGAGCTGGTGAGCACTGTGGTCTGGGGCCAGGCTCCTCCTGTCTCCTGCTGCTCCTGCCTGTTTGTGGCCTTGTCTTTGTGATCACAGAACTGCACTGCCAGCCAGCGAGATAGGAGGATGGCCAAGCCTACCTGGGGAGGAGTCCTATTTACCTGGAAGGAGGAGCAGACTCTACCTGTGTCTTTCTGACTGGAATGCTCTGACCCAGCCACCCAGCTGCAAGAGAGGCTGGGGCCATGAGACCTTGACCACCTCCTGCAGAATCCTGGTGGTTTGGGATGGGCAGGCGGGAAGAGAGCTCTGGGCATGCGCTGAGCCGGGCCTGCAAGGCAGAACACAGGAGCTGGGGAGACTTCCTGAAGGCTGAGTTAGTGGCCTGGGAAAATGTGGATGGTGTGTATGAATATTTTAGAGCGGGTTGGGCTTCTTTAATTTATGGGAATTTTAGAAGCTTTTCATTTAGAGTTCCAACTAGTGTTATACTTTATGGGTTTACACAGTACCGTGATCAAGTGAGATGAGCTGGCTCTTAGGGGCCACTTCTGCCCCAAAGAGTGAGTGAGTGAGTGTGTGTGTGTCCGCCCCCCCCCAGCAACTCAGCTCTTCGGCCTTGTTCTGTTTTTGCACGGGCAGGGGCTCCATCTGTCCTTTCCAGCCTCAGTGCTTGGTGGTGGTGACATGTCTTCCTAACTCCCAAGGCTGCGTGGCCAGCTGTGTGCCCTCTGCCTGCAGTAGCAACAGCAGCATGTCAGGCTGTCCTCCGGCTGCATGTGCCGACAACCCTCAGCCCAGCACGTGGGACCCCATCCTGGAGCCTCACCTTAGAGGCTTGAGACCTGTCATGTGCCTGTGGGGCTGTGGGCTGCTGTTCCTCCCGCAGAGGGCTTGTGGGCCCAGAGCAGTCCTCATCCGTCTGCACTTGGCTCCCAGTGTGGAGGCCTGGGACTGGGAGACTAGAAGGATACCCGCCTGTCCCCTTGCTCACCAGACCCAAGTCTGCGTGGCTGGAGGTGGAGACTGCGCTGTCTGTGCTTCTGAAGCAGGTGCCTGAAAGCTGCCCTGCACCTCCCAGCAGCACCCATGCCAGCTTGGGGCCATTCCTGCCTTGGGGGCCCCCAGGCCATGGAGCCCTCCTGGAGTTTCTACAGTAGGACTGAGGGGTCTGTGAGCGTAAGCTGTCTGCCAGCCAGGCTGGGACCGCGGGCACAGAGGACGGCCTTGCTGCACTGTCGTCCCTTTTCCAGGCAGGCTCATGGAGTAAGAAGGGCTCTAGGAGGGTGTTGAGCCCCTTGGAAGGGAGCCCAGCTCTACTGCCCCTGTCAATTCTTGGGCACAGGCGGTATTTAGGATTGGTCCTGTTCCTTCCCCCTTCTGTGTCTCTGTCCCCTCTGGTGGAAGCCAGTGGTAACAGCCCACCCCTCCTGACCCCCCATTCTCGGGGTGCTGGTGGCATCTACGTGGGCAGAGTGGGCATCAGAGGAAAGAGTTCACAAGTGTTGGGTGGAGGGACCAAGCTTGGGCAGAGGAGAAAACACTGACCAACTAAGTTCCCAGCCACCTCCTTATTCCAGCAGATAATAATTCAGAGAAAGCATGTGCTTTGTCCATCTCCTTTTTAAACCAAAGCAGAGGACCCCCCCCCATTTCTAATTTGAAAACAATAATGCATTATTTTTCTAACAAGGTAAATTAGTTCATCTGAGAGTACTCCCAAGGTTTCCTTTGATCGTAACTTGAAATACTAAGATTTCCCTGGTGACTCAGACCTTAAAAGAATCTGCCTGCAATGCAGGAGACCTGGGTTCAGTCCCTTTGTGGGAAAGACCCCCTGGAGGAGGGCATAACTGCCCACTCCAGTATTCTTCCCTAGGGACTCCCGTGGACAAAGGAGCCTGGTGGGCTCCAGTCCATAGGGTCTCAGAGTCGGACACGACTGAGCAACTGACACTTGGACTTTCATCAGACTCCTCAGATGGTATCTCCTGGATGGGCAGAGGGGGTCAGGCGTGCAGCAGTGGGTGGCGGGGGTCATACCGAGACACAGTGTGCCTTGTCTGTTCAGGTTGGCACTGGAGACCTGGACGGCTTCCAGGCGGACACAGAGGAGGAAGACGACGAGGAAGGCGACTGTGTGATCATGGACATCTCTGATGTTGGGGGTGAGCAGGGTACCACACCACCTCTTTTCCTTCAAGCTGGCAGGGAAGGGAAGGGGCAGTTCGTCACCCCCCAGCTCGCATCCTGTGAATGATGGGGACTGAGGAAGAAGTCCTGAAAGGTGCTGGGCAGGCTGGTGTGATGGCGGTTTGGGTGTCAGGCCGCCTGCCCTGATCTGAAAGTTACATTCAGGAAACCAGAGACCTGAGGGTTGGTGAGGAGCTGTGTCAGGGAGCGGGGTGTAGGGCCTCTGAACCAGGCTTCCCCAGGGCAGGGAGCTTGAGGCCGGCCACTGAGTGTTGCTGCCCACTTTCCTCATCTTTACCACGGGCTGCCCCTGCCCTGGAGGGTCAAGTGCAAAGCCTGATGGTCAGAGCTGCAGAAGCACACAGCTGAAGCCCCGGTGAGAAGGCGGTGCCTGCCCGCCCTCCCCCGGAGTGGACCCAAGGCTGAAGCCCCTCCCTCTCTTGCCTTACAGACATCCAGGACCCATGTGGAACCACTTCTGGATCTGGGGGGTCAGTGGGGATGGACACCAGTGAGAGCCTCGTGGCCCCCACCTCGCTTGGCCCATCCTGAGCCGCCCAAGTGGCCCGTGTATGTATGTAGAATGGTTAGGGTATTCTCGACGCCTCTCAGATACTTGAAAGTCCTGACTCCTGTGTAAAGAGCACTTTGTCCTGCTTGGCAGACCTCCCTGGAGGTTTGGAAAGTTTTATATAGGATACTTGGTTAGTTCATTTTGATATTTGTAAAAAATTTCCCCCCAAAGCTGCATATTAATCTGCCGTTGAATAAAGCATTATTGTGATGTGATGACCTGCATGGGGAGGGCCTAGTCGTGCCCTATGGACCCTGGGCAGGCGCAGTGATGAGATGCTTGTGAATGAATTGAAGCCCCTCAGACATGGCGCGGCACCCGGACCTGACATGGACCTGTATAAACTATTGTCTAGCCTGACCTGGCGTGTCTGTTGTCTCTTCCAACACGTGGTGTCTGTGCGTGGTGTGTCCACTGCCCTGGGTCCGAAGCCAGCGCTCTGCTGTCCAGTGTCCGCCGCCCCCCGGTTCCCCATGCGTGGACCTGTGGCCTTTGTTTAAAGTTCAACGCTTCATACAAGTTCTGTCCCATCTCTTTGTTGTGAGGTCCTTGGCCTCCCTGCTTACCTGGTCCAAGGCCAGGGCTCCTCGGCAGGTGCTTGTGCTGGTTAACCCCTCCTGCCCCTTGGCCGGTGGGCAGAGGGTGTTCCCAACCTCGGGAGTGCTGAAGCTAGTGTGGTGGAGCCAGGCGCCGCACCTACTGGACCCTGGAGCAGTCCTAGGACAGGGCTGTGACGGGTCCAGCAGAGGCATCTGAGCATGTACCAAGGGCCTGGGGCAGCGAGGTTCTGGCAGAATTCCGACTGTTGGAACCAGGCTGCAGTCCTGCTGGCCCTTCACAGTACGTTGTTTTGTTGGGAGGAGAGTCAGCCGGCATTTCAGCATGAGCACCTGTTCAGACTGTGTTGCCTCACTCCTGAGGTGGGGCAACACGACCCTGCCCTTGGGGGTCATGCCGTCTGCTGTCTTAAGACCCTCCCGGGCCCACCTCTCCTAGCAGCACCCTGATCCTCCTGGAGGGGGTTTCTCCCTCCAGCTCCGCAGGGGTGGGGTGTGGACCCTGGCCCCACCTGGGACTAAGTGCTGCAGGTTGCTGGCACAGGGGTGGGGCATGGGTGCAGCTCCACCTGTGGGTTTGGCCACCAGCCGCAGTCATGGTTAAGTGCCTTTAACCTTGCTAGTGCCACCTGACAACTTACTGTTTACCCCGTAGCAGGTTCTGGGGATCAGGCAGCCAAGGAGGGTGGGCCCAGGTCCTGCCCCCATGTGAGTACAGCTGCGGGCTGCCCAAGGGTGAGGCACAGCTTGTGTGGGGGCTACTCAGTGGCTCTGGGTTACAGGAAATTTTTGTGTCTAATCACATTGGGGGCCTGGAAGCTCTCACCTCACAGCGGCCAAAGAGCCAATCACCACTGGCCTCCATGAATGTGGGGTCTAGACCTGTTTCCCTGTCTGTTAGCTCCCCATGGCTGCTGTGACAAGGTGCCCCATGTTATTCTTAACAGTTCTAGGGACAGAAGCCTCATGAGGGCCTCACTGGGTTAAATTGAGGGGAGGGATGGTTTCTTCTGGAATGAGAGAACCCCATTTCATTCTTCCAGAAGAACCCCATTCTTTTGGAAGGGGGAACCCCATTTCTGTGCTTTTTGCAGCTGTTAGAAGCCCCTCCTCCATCTTCAAGACCTGCAGCGTCACATCTCCCATCTCTACTTCCTTCCACATGTTAGAGCTCCTACGGGAATGCTGGGCTCACTGCATAACCCAGGACAGTCCCCTAGTTTGTCCTTACCCACAGCCCAAGCCCCTCTGGCACATAATGTCACACATTCACGGGCTCTGGCCCCAGGAGTCCTCAGCAGGGCTGGCTCATAGGCAGTGGAGATAACATAGGAAAGCATGGGAAGTGAAGAGCTTGCCTTGGACACGAGGGGCTCCTGGGACCCCAGGTACCACCCCAGAGCAGGTGTCCACCTGACCCTGCTTCACCAGGAGCCACAGCCAGCCTTGCTCACTGGTGGTTCCGCAGCTGCTGATGAACCCTGCCTCCCATGGCTTGAAACACCAGGAAACTAGTTAACATCCTGTTTATTCAGGTTTATAACTTTACAGAACTTGTCCTGACAGGCCCAGGCCTCCCTTGGCTGGTCACCCCGGGGCCACTGCACACAGGGTTCTGGCTGGGGCTGCAGGCTGCTCTGCCTGGGAGACACCCAGGGCTTCTGCTAAACAGATTATTAGTGATGCCCTCTCCTGGTGGTGGTCATGGCTGTGTGCTCTGCCAGCCAGCATCCTGCCTCATGCCCGCAGTGCCCCATGGGCAGGGTGAGCGGTTCTGGAGGTGGTAGGGGGACCAGAACGGGAGAACGTGGAGGAGAGCATGAGACAGACCCACGGTGGGGCTGAGCCAACCCTGCTTTATTTCACTAGAGCTTCTCAATGGCCGACAGGAGCTCAGGTTTCAGGATAGACGTGTCTGGCTGGGTGCCTGCGGCCCTGATGTCCTCAAGCACCGCCATGTCCCACGAGAAGGTCAGGAGGGCAGAGGGCACCTGCAGCAGGGTGAGAGGCGCAGAGCTCCAGCTTCACATTCAAATCTCACTGCTGGAGCCCAGACCACACTTGCCCAGGGTTGCTCCCCACTGGGGACAGCACGGCTGTGCCATCAAGGGCTCATCAGATGAGGACACCCCCTGGCCTGGCTGAAGCCCACCCAGCCTGAGGCAGCAGTTGGCACTTCCTCTCCAGGCCTCCTTCCCAGTCTCCCTGAATCAGGATCTGACTGTGATCTGGCCCCCTCCTTTGTCCTCTCAAGGAATTCCCTGCATCTTGAAAGCCTTCTGGTCTCTGCTTTGCAGAGGACTCTTAACAGACTTTGCACATTTTCATTTTACAGATGAAAGTTACTCAAGGCCACACCACAATTAAGTGGGTAGGTGGGTCTTAAATCCAGAGACACCCTCCCCAGTACCATCCCATCCCCTCTTGGGACCTTGTGTCGATTTAACAAGAGCCCAGAGAGCCGGGCTAAGGTGCGGGGAGCCATCACCCACCAGCCCACACTCGTTGAAGGCCAGGTTCTCATCTTCTGACAGCTTCTGCCCGCCCGAGGCCAGCAGCTCAAAGGGCAGCCAGTCGTTCTGCAAGGCCTCCCGGACAAACCCGTACAGCGCAGCCACCCGCTCCCGGGCGTAGAAGGTCCCTGGGGGCGAGACAGTCGAGTGGGGAGCTCGCGGGGGCACCTCTGCGCCAGCCGGCCGCCAGCCCTCAGCCTCCTCCCCGAGGACGAGTGCAGCCCAGAGAGGCCGCGCAAGCGCGCGGCACGCTCCCTGCACCCTGCAGCAGGCAGCTGTTCGGGACGCGCGCGCACACCTCCCCGGGGATGAACGCAGCTCAGAGGGACTGCGCAGGTGCCCAGAACACACCCTGCAGCAGGCAGCCGTCGGGAAGGCGCACGCGCAGCAGCGTGTACGTGTACTTGCGCATCTCCCGCTGCTCCTCCCGCTCACGCATGGCCTTGGTTCGCAGCACACTCAGCCGCTCCACGGCCTCCGACCGCAGTCGCTGCTCCCGCTTGATCTCCTCAGCCGTCAGGTTGAAGAAGTCCGTGGGCAGGTCGAACTGCGAGGCCAGGGGCGAGGGCCGGAAGACGCGGCGCTGGCGGGCCAGAGTGGCGCGCACGGGCTCGGCGCTCAGCAGCTGCTCCTTGTGCCGCTCCAGACTCTGAGGCTGGGCCAGGGCGGCCTCGCTCAGCACGTAGAACTCCTCGGGGCCCTCTGGAACACGCGGAAACTTCACTGCCGAGTCAGGGAGGCCCCGCGCCGGACCCTCCCGCCCTAACTCTGGGCTCTTACCCTGGTCGGGGATCGGAAGCAGCACCTTCTGGAAGCCGATGGCCTCAAAGAACTCGTGGGTCCCTTCCAGGCAGTGAATGCGCTCCTGAGAGCGGAGGCAGAGGTCACACGGGGCCCTCGGGGCCTCCCTGTGCCCCACAAGAGTCCCCACCAACCCTGGCCTCCGGGCCCAGAGTCCCTGCTCTCTACAGCTGCTATCCCTGGGAACCCCTGAAGCCATCTAAGGGGCTGAGCTCACAGAGGGCCCGGGACCCGGAAAGGTCAACACCAGGGTGAAGGAGGCTGAAGCGCCAAAGGACAATGCGAGGAAGGAGTGCCAAAGATGGGGCAGGCCAGCTGTGTGATGCTGGACTCCCGTGGGGGCCACCAGAAGAAAGTGGGGCCCTGCCGGCCCCAGGGGCAGGCACCACAGCCAGGGTGGTGGGCTTGCAATTTCTCCACAGACGCCAGAAGCCTGCCTTTGTGTGGAAACCCTCCCCAGTGCTGACATTCTCTCAACTAACTCAAAGAGAATTCACACTACACTGGGTGGTAGGCAGGGCAGAGGGTTTATGGTGCTCACAGAGCCCGCCCTCCTACCCACCACCTCAGCCCGCCTGGACTGCTCCCAACCCCCCAACCCCCCACCCCCCGCCAAGCAGGGGCCCTTCTGCAGCCAGCTCTAGCCCCCATCCCAGGCTGTCTGCAAGCCAGCTGCTCCCTGTGACAGCTTGGGTCCTGGGGGGCTCATGGGCCCGGTCACACCAGGCCAAGTCCCTCTGCCAGCAGCGCTCACCTGGAACACCTTGTTCTGCACCTTGATCTTGCGGTACTTCTCCTCCTCTGGGTGCAGGTGGATGTTGTCCAGGTACCTGGGGTGGACAGGGGCCAACAGCTCAGAGCCACGCCACCTCACTAAGTTGACCCCAAGCAAGGTGCTGTCACACCTGAACAGCCCACAGAGCCTGACCCCTGGCACCCAAGACACCAGGCCTCCCCCTCGGTCCTGCCTTCTGAGGGCACCAATGACCTGCCACGGTGGGTGGAGCGGGGCAGGACCAGAGGAACAGTCTCTAGAGCTGATGGGTCCCTGGAGGTCCCCCAGCTTGGGGGGCTCCTGAGCAGCACAAACTGCTAGGCACCCCCACCCAGACCTGCTCAGTAACAGGAACGGGGCGACCCTGCCTCTTCACTCTCTTCTGATGATCCAAATAGGAAAGGGTTGGGAACCCCTGATGCAAGGTCCATCTAGTCAAAGCTATGGTTTGTCCAGTAGTCATGTATGGATGTGAGAGTTGGATTATAAAGAAAGCTAAGGGCTGAAGAATTGATGGTTTGGAACTGTGATGTTGGAGAAGACTTTTGAGAGTCCCTTGGATTACAAGGAGATCCAACCAGTCCTTCCTAAAGGAAGTCAGTCCTGAATGTTCATTGGAAGGACTGATGCTGAAGCTGAACTCCAATATTCTGGCCACCTGATGCAAAGAGCTGATTCACTAGAAAAGACCCTGATGCTGGGAAAGATTGAAGGAGGAGGAGAAGGGGACAACAGAGGATGAGATGGTTGGATGGCATCACTGACAATGGACATGAGTTTGAGTAAGCTCTGGGAGTTGCTGATGGACAGGGAAGCCTGGCATGCTGCAGTCCATGGGGTAGCAGAGTTGGACATGACTGAGCAACTGAACTGAACTGATGCAGTAAACCTCTTCATTTTAAAGACTGATAAATGGCCCCAGAGAGGCCAGACCCCTTCCTCGAGAGCCCAGGGAGAGGGCCATGCTCCCTGCAGGCCTCCTCAGCAGGAGTTGGTGCCTGGTGGGAGAGGGCTGCCCACTCACTTGGCGATGGTGTCCACGCCCAGCTTCACCCGGTCCCGGTCCTTGTTGAACGTGTGGATCTTCATGATGGAGGCAGCTACTGGGTCAGTGGAGAAGTGCTGGGGGAGTGAAGAAACCAGAGGGTCAGGAAGCACCGTCCTGGGGACCTGGGGGCCACACCGGCTGAGTCGCCGGCTCTCAGCATGCACTGGCAGCATGTCCAGAACCCGCCGGCCACTGCAGACGCACTGCCTCTCTTAATCCCCCAGCCCTGCAAGGGATGTTCTAGAAACAGACTTAGGTGGCAGAAACAGGATGCAAAAAAGGTCTGTGACCTGCGGCTGCCCACGCACAGCCAGGGAGGCAAAACAGTGGAGATGCCACTGACCCGTCCCCCTGCCTTGGGGGACACCACCTGCTTCCCTGGGGAGTGGAGGGGCCATGTTTGATCCCTCAGCTGGCCCAGCCTCTGAGTGCCCCCAGGGACCCTGCAAACAGCATCCCAGTAGGGAGAGACTGAGAATGGGTCAGAGGCGAGAAGCAAGGTCAGGCAGCAGGTGTGCTCGCACTCTGGACAGCTAGGCACGTGGCCTCCCCATCGGGTCTTGTTTTTCTGCAGCCCCAGAAAGTCAGCAGTTACATGGCCAGTGGGGCTGGTACCTGTGGCAGCCCCAAACACATCTGCTCTGCCTGAACAGTGGTGGGGGTGAACAGTGGGGTCACTAGAGGTGATGGATCAGAGCAGAGACCACCTGGCCACTCAGATCTACCTGTGCACCCCCGCAGAAGCCCAGCCAGAGCTCCTGGAAGGCAGGTGTGGAGCCTCCGCCTGCCCCGGCCCGCCTCTCTGAACTACAGTGGGGGTGAGCCTTCAGCAGCCACGTATGTGTCACTTGACATCTGATGTGAATTGGGTCAGCTCTCCTGGGAACTTCAAATCTGGACCCCGTTCACTCTGCCAGTTAAGTTACCAGCATAAGACAAAAAGGTTCAGACAGGACAACAAAGCGGGTCTGCAAAGAAGCAGCTGTCGGGGGTTGGGGGGTGGTTCTCAGGACATGGCTGAGCCAGGCTGACGGCCCCCACTCCAGCCGCCTCAGGACAAGCACACACCCCACCCCCCCCACCCCACCCCCCCGCAAAAAGCTGCAGCTCCCTGTGCTGTTCTCAGAAGTATCCAGGCAGCCCGCAGCCTCATTTAAATTAGGACCAGGGCATGGGACAAAGGAACACAAGATCCATGTAGGTATTCATGTTGTGGATGGGGGTGGACTTCACAGTGGCCAGAAGACAAGTATTTCAACAAATAAGGACTGGGGAAAACTGGGCAACTATCTGGAAAAAAAATAAACACACACAGCACTGTAAATTAACTATACTCAAATAAAAATTTTTTTTTAATGAAAATAACCCTAGCTGCATGCATCATATTCTACAGAGGGATAAATTCTAGTTGGAGCAAACCTTTAAACATTAAAAAGCAAAACAGAGTAGGACTAGAAAAACCATGGAATAACTGTTTTAATTCTTTAGTGGGGAAGGCTTTTCTAAGCATGCCACAAAACCTGGAAGCCATAAATTAAAATTGATGCATTGAATTACATAGAAAAAATTTTTGCATGGCTATGTGACCATAAGCAAAATATAAAAATAAGCTGGAGAAAAAAATAAACTGGAGTAAAATATCCCCAGATCATAGATAAAAACCTCATTTCCCTAATATGTAGAGTGCCTACAAATCAATAATAAAAAATACCCAATACAAAAATGATCAAAAGATGCATTCTCATATGAAAACATAGACAACCTAACCCTAGAAAGGGAGACACAAACTAAAAACTGCTGAGATGTTATTTTTACCTATCGATTTGGGTAGAGACATGAACATTTGGTCACCCACAGTGACAGTCAGGGGACAGGGCAAATGGGAACTTTCTCTCACAATGCTGGTGAGAGAGTGAATCGGGAAAAACTCTATGGAGGATCACCTGGTGACAACTATTCAAAGCCTGACGCAGATGTTCTTTGTTCCAGCAACTCAGCTTCTGGAATGGAACCTACAGCTCGAAGTCTACAGAGACCAGGTTTTCATCATAAATATTGTCCTCTCTAGTGAAAGATTGGAAACTTCCTACATGCTCATCAACACAGGGCTGGTTAGTCAAGGAACAATTTACATGAGTCACCATGCAGTCACTATGGAGAAAGCAGAGTTTCAAACTGCACAGAAAAAAAGAGAGGGATTTCCATATTGGTCAAGTGGTTAAGACTCTGTGCTTCCAATGCAAAGTATGTGGGTTCCATCTGTAGTGAGGGAACTAAGATCCTACATGGGGCATGGCAAATAAAACCCAGACAGGGGGTGATAGAGCAAATGAGGTAAAAATGCTAACAACTGGCAGATTTGGGTAAGGTGGGGAGAATGACGCAGGTATTTGTAACTTGACCCCTGGAACCTGGGAGCATGTAGGTTATGGGGTAAGGGTTTCGCAGATGGAGTTAAGGCTGCTGATTAGCAAACCTTAAGATAAGGAGATTAGCTGGGATTACCAGGTGAGCCTGACGGAATAGTAAGGGCCCTGAAGAGGGGGAAGAGAGAGAAAGCAGAGGACAGCTGGGAAAGGCCTGGCCTGGCTCAGCTGGCCGTGAAGGCGGAGAAGGAACCACAGCAGACACACAGCCTGAATCCCCAGGGCTCCCAGAAGGCACACAGCCCTGTGGCCATCTTGACTGCAGCCCACTCATAACTTCCAGAACTGTGGGAGCAGAGGCGTGCTGTCTGGAGGCACCGCATTTGTAATCATCTGTTGGAACAGTAATAGGTCACTTCCACCCTAGGTGAAGGAGATTGAGGTGTTCTTTCTGTTCTTATAGTTTTTCTTTAGGTTTGGAATTATTTCCAAATACAGAATTTTAAGGACAAAACAATAATAATATGGAAGTTCTTCCTGTACTGATAAATGTTGCAGTTCCATGTCAGATGTGAATGGCAGATTGACTTTTATGTAAAACAAAAACGCAGCCCATGTAGGAGAGACAAATGCCTCGAAGTTTGTATCTGGAGCATCTCTGAAAAGGGATATAACATGCTCAAAGCTGGTGCCCTGAGGAGGGTGGTGGCGACTTTCCCCACCTATCCTCCCAGACTGTGAATTCTGTCCCACAGGTGAGGGAGGTTAGCACAGAACCGGAGCACACCCAGGTGGTGACGCTGCAGGGCTGCCAGGCCTTCCAGACTTCTGGGGGCGGCTCCAGCAGCGGGGCGGGCACTCACCATGAGAATGGCCTCTCTGATGCGGGCATCCCGCTGGTCCTTTCTTAGGATGGCCCCTGTGAGGGGGCAGGTGAAGTACACTCCGGGCACCGCCAGGTGGGCTGAGCCTTCCTCTTTGGGCTCGTGCACCTGGGAAGATGGGGGAAGGTGTCTGAGCCTGGACTGTGGACAAAGGCCACCCTGAGTGCCACAGTCCTGAGAGCGTGGCCCTGGGAGCCAGACATCCCCAGGCCTAACACTGTTGCCTCTGCCTATTAGTTGTGGAACACCATGTCCCAGTAGCCAAGCCGCTCGGAGCCCACCTTCAGGGCCACAAGATGTCCTTGAGGGACCAACTCAGAATTCAACAGGGAAAGGAACAGGGAGCGTGTAGCGGCCCTGGACACAGAGCAAGTGCTCAACTGAAGGCTCCTGCTCTTCCTGCTCCCCCTGACTGAGGGGTGAGGAAGGGGCTTTGGAAAGGGAGTCAGGGGGTCAACGGTGTCCTGGGTGAGTCCCGGCCTCAGTCTGGAACTCAATGCCTAAGTCATCTTCAAGGTTCCTTCCATTCTAAAACTCAGGCCTCACGGGTGGTGCTGCTCAGAACACCCTTTCCGCCAAGCTCTCCGTTAAGGCCTGCCTCCTCCAGGAAGGCCTCCCAGATCACACAGTCTCTGTGTGCCCCACCACCAAGGAAGGCAGCAGAGGGCAGCGCTAAGGGAAAGGGCTTTGGAGTCAGACAGCCTGGGAATTCCAGTCTTGCCCCTGCTGGTTTTGAGGTGCAAACTGAGGACACTGGGCTCTCTGAACCTCAGTTTTCTCTTCTGAAAAGTGGGAACTGTAACAGCTCCTCCCCGTGTGTGGTTACAGGGGATGGGGTGGGGGAATGACTGAACAGACGTTCAGCCCCTCCCCCGGCACCTGGGTTTGGTTTCATTACACGCCAGGCATGCAGGTCCCAGATGACACCACCCTCCACCGCAGGGTTCCCTAACCTGCCTCAGTGCCCTGAGGCCAGAGGTGACCGTGATCTGCCCTGACAGCTGCGATTCCCTCCCCTCCCCAGCAGCAGACGTTTATAGCCCAGGACTGGGCACCAATCAGATCAGAGCAGGAAAGAGCGCAAGTGGGCCCTCCAGGTCCCCCTCCCCAGGCCCCACTTTGGGGGTCCCACTGCTGCTGCCACAATGTCTTTACCGTGTTGTTCCCCGGAGCCTCTGGGTTCCCACTGACAGTTGCTTCAGCTCGAAGTTCCTTTCTCACTGTGGGGAAAGGCAGGGAGACGGAGAACAGGTCGGTGTGTGTAGTGAGCCTGCATGCCCCGTCCAGGCCTGAATCCTCACATGGGTCACACTCTAGTCCTTCCAGCTCAAGGTCCTCCTGGCCCCCCCACCTCTCCACACCCCCAGGCTCAGGCTGCACCAGACCATGCCCTCCTCCTGCTCCAAGTCCTGGTTCTGTCTCCCTCCACCATCCCAGACATCCCTGCCCGAGATCACAGACCCCTCCTCAGCCTTTTCACTGGCACTTCCCCTTTGTGGTAAAAGTGTTAGTTGCTCAGTCATGTACGACTCTGTGCAACCCCATGGACAGTAGCCCGCCAGGCTCCTCTGGCCATGGAATTCTCCAGGCAAGCACACTGGAGTAGGGTGCCATTTCCTTCTCCAGGGGATCTTCCTCACAATTGTGATTTAAACCTCTTCCTACCTCAAAGTGTGGGAGCCCAAAGGCTCCGGCACCCATGAGAAACAGAGGATCCGCCTAGAGGACAGTGGGGAGAGGCCTGCTCCACCTGCCCCAGGTCCCCCCGCCATGGATAGTGGACAGTCAAGGCTCACCTTGGTTCCGGATGGAGTCCTGCGATGTGGGGCCCCGTGCCCGGGGCTGCTTCTGCTCCAGCCGGGCCAGGGCCGCTGCTGCTGCCATCTGCGCCTCATTGGTGGGTCCCTGGCGGGGCTGCCGGGCTGGCAGCTGGCTGGGCTTCTCTTTGGGGGCCTTCTCCCTGAGGAGACGCAGGGGGATGGCGAGGTGACATGGGGTTGGCAGGAGAGCTTCTGTCCCCTCCCCCTCCTGCCCCAGCAGACACAGCCATGCCTCTTCCCTGGGGGCCACCAGACGGTTCTACGCTGACAAGAGGAGCCCCTGGAGGCAGATGGTGGTTCTGTTCCCTGCTTGCGCCCTCTGGGCAAATCCTGCCCTGGTCTGGGCCTCGGAGTCATCACCTGTCAGGCAGGGGGAGAGCTTACACCCGCAAGGGTGAGACCCATCCAGACTTCGTCTACTGAGCACCAACTGTGTGCCAGGTAGCTGGCATGCCAGGAGCTAAGGCTCAGCGGGTCTATTACTCAGGGCCACGTTCCGCCCTGCGAGGGCTCCAGCCGCCTTCTCACAAGCCCCAGAGGCTCACGGATGCTGGGGCAGTGTGCCAGGCTGCACACAGGCCCTGTGTGAGGCAGGCTACAGAGATCTGGTTTGATATTGTCTCTACCCTGGGAAGCAGGGTGATCGCCCCGTAGGATGGGCACCCTCCAGCCCTGACCCAGCCAGGAGATGACCTGGCCTCCTCCTCATTCCAGGAGAGTCCTGCCTCCCACCCAGGTCTGACTCTGCCTTGCTCTCCTTCCCTCAGGACTCTCTCTTTGGGAGCTGGGATCATCTGTGCTATATCTCAAGAGGGAGCCAAGGCTCTGCGTTCACAGCCTTGCTGCCTCCGCCCCCACCTCACCCCACCCTTCTGCTCCCCCTCTCTGCTTAGACACCCAGGGCAGCCCTCTTTTCTAATCCCTGCTCCTCTTGCCCACCATGTCCACAGCTGAAAGTTTCAGGCTGAAGAATGGACAAGTCATGTATGGATACCTCCGCCCGAGCCCCACCATTCGATAAAAGCACCATTTTCCAAACTTTTCACTCCCCCCTCCTCCCTTCATGACTCATCCTGGCAGCCAGAGGGGTCCTTCTAAAACCCAGTCACTCCTCTGCATACACAGCCCCCTCACCCCAAGAACGACAAAACCCTGTACCAAACACAGGCCCTGCACGAGCTGCCCCTTTCCCTCATTTGCTCCCATCTTTGCTCTGTGCTGTTCTTCACACCTGTTCTTCCACCACAGGACCTTTGCACTCTGTGCTTTCTGGGGGAGTATTCTTCCTGGGATGGACAGGGGCCACTTCAACAGTGCATGCATGTGTGAGGTATGGGTTGATTTCCACACAGCTAAATCTAAGCTCAAACTTCCCCCTTCTTAGAGAGACATTCCCAGACCACCTAACAGTCCCCAGCATCACTGGCAATTTCAACCCTGTTTTTTTCCCTTCACGGCCAACCTTTCGTCATTTATGTATTGGCTTACTCATCCATCTCCCCTCACAGGAAGGGGAGCCCTAAGAGGGCAGGGATTCTCATGCCGTGGCAGTTAGCTAGACACACATCCTGCATCTCCAGTCTGGCTCCAGGCGCATCACAGAAGCCCAAATTTCTACGTGACTTCCCTCCCCTCTCCTTCCAGGCTTCCAGTCTGACACAACCATCAGTCCTCATCTCCTTCCAGTCACACACAGTCCCAGCTGCTCCAGCTCCCACCTCCACTCACTACTTGATGGACAAATGAATGGACTCCCTTGTTTGGCCCACGACTCTCCCTGGGTCCCTTTAAAGGGGTCCTTCTCTCCCCCATACCCCCAGGCTCCCAGGACCTGCACTTTCCTCCCTGACTCACAGATCTGGCCCTCATGGGCCCCCTTCACCCGACTCAGTGATCCCCTCCCAAGAACCCCAGGGAACCCCCAAGCCTCATGACAGATGCCCAGATGTCCTCACCACGCACCCACTCTCTCCCTCACCCACCCCCACTGCCTCAGGATTCCCTCACCAACCCTAACTGCCGGCCACCCAGTCTCTCCTCCCAGCCTCCCCCTCTTCACAATCCCTTCCATTATGCCTCACAGACCCCTTCCCAGGCTGATAACTTTCATTGGTCACTCCCCATCCTAAACCCCCTCACGCCCCCAGCCCTCTCTGTAGCTCCCTGTAGGAATCCCAGCCCCTTCCAGACTCCTTCTGCTCATCCCTCCCCGCAGTGGAGCCTTCTCAGCCCATCCACGTTGCCGCTCCAGCTCATCATTATCCTCTGCTCAGCACTGGCCCCTCATACTTCCCCATGGAGTCTCCAGTGTGGTCCCAGGCCCCTCTCTTCAAGTTCTCCCCAGACAAGTTACAGAGGCCTGGAAGTGCAGGCCACCTTCCCTCCCCTCCCAGGCCTTCAGCCACTCAGCGATCACCCACGAGGAGGACCCACATCTCCTTCTAGTCCAAGTTCCCCAAGTCCTCACCTCCACCCACCTGCCTCCCTTCTCCTCCCAGACCTTCCTCAGCCCCTCACAGCACCACTCACCCCCCTCTCCCCGCAGTTCACCCGCACGTCCCCAGTCCCTGACCACACCGCCAACAAAGCCTAAGCCTTCCGCATTCTCACCTCCCGTCCACCCTCCTGCTCCACAACCAAGGCCCAGCCAGTTCTCTATCGCCACGGAGCTTAAGTTTCACGACTTTTTGCGACCCCAGCTCTTCTTGTTTCTCCAGGATCAGACCCCAACCTCTGATCACTGAGATGCCCTCAGATCTTAGGCGATGACTTTTCAGGGGCCATTCTCCGCATCCCTGGCCTCTCCCTTACCGCCCGCCCTAACCGGCTAGGGTCTCTTAACTGACCCCTCAGTTCCTGCAGCCCCGCCTCCTCGAGCCTCGCCCCTTCTGCCCCGCCCCCAGAGGCCTCCCCTCCCCCAACTCCCACCCCCCCTCCCTCGCGCCCCGCCCCCGGAGGTGTCCCCCACGTTCTCAGCTGCCCCTCCACGCTCCTCGCCTTCCCTAGACTTCCCGCGCCGCGCCCCCCGCCCCCGCCCCCGCCCCCGCCCATCCCCGTCCCCGGGTCTCAAGCTTCAACGTCTGTCACGCACCCCACCGACTCCGTGAGCTTCTGACCCGGTCCCGCGCTCTTGAACTTGATGTCGGCCTTGATCTCTTGGAAGAATTTCTTCATAGTGGCGGCGGGCCCGGCGGCGGGGGGCCGCGGGGGGGGGGGTGGGGGGGGGCGCAGGGCCCAGTACGGGAGGGGCCGGCAGGAGCCAACAACCGGAAAGAAAATACGGCTCCGCCGGAAGTCCAGCCATCGCGAGGGCAGTCCACGTGACAATTGGCGCAGCGAGCCTCTCTAGATCTCTGCGTCTTGTTGGCCCAAAGTGACCACTCTGCACTCTCGGGGCGCTTCTCGGTGGTTCGTCTGGATTCTGTTGCCAGGGGCAACGACAGTGCTTCCAGAGGGAGGTTGTGCTTGAGCGCCTTCCACCGCGTTCCCCAAGGAGTGGCAAGAGGGAGAGGGACAGGCAGAGGACCCCGCGGAGAAAGCGCTGGTCCTGTCCTTTTACTTACTCAAGAACCTTCCCTGGCTCCCCAACGGTCACGTGAAAAAGTCCCAACTCTGTGTGGGGGCAAAGTCCCCACGCAGCCACGTGGTTAGTGCCAGTAATCCTCAACAAACACAATGTGGGAGAAAATGAAGAGGATGGGTTGCACAGAGCTAGGGCTTGGGGACCCTCAATGGCGGATCACCGAGGGGTTTAACTTAAAGAGATCGGAGATTATCCTCAGAGCGCTGACGGAGTTCAACGAAGAATCTAGTGCAGCCCAAACTTTACCCTCCCTGAACTTTATTTTCCTAGCTATGAAATGAGGATACGAATAGCACCGGCTTCATAGGAGGTCTGTGAGGATGATGCTGCAATTCGAAATCTCTGAATAAATCGCGGACGTTATCGTGATTTTGTTGTTGTTCAGTCTCCAAGTCGTGTCCGACTCTTTGCGACCCCATGGACTGCAGATTTACTCCTTTAAGAACAGTTCCTGAGAATCCGTTCTGTACCAGCAGTGAAGAAAACAGACAAAATTCCCTTACCTCAAAGAACTCGTGATCTTTTTGATTGGAGGAGAGAGCCAGAAAATATAAAATCTATGGTGGAGTGGATGGTGTTAGTGGTATGGAAAAAAATTAAGCGGGAAACAGGATTGAGGGGATGGGAAGGTGGACGCAGTTTGTAACATCAAATAAGAATCCGAAAACAGGAAAAGGGCTTGCTTGAGACCACCAGAGAAATTTGATTGGATCCAGGTGTTAGATGATATAAAGGAGCTATTGTTGATTTTGTTAAGAATGGTAATGATATTGTAGTGATGTTTAAAAATAAATTTTTTTCAGCTAGAGATGCTTTCTGAGGTATTTGTGGGTGAAATAACATCTCAGATAGGTTCTTATTTTTATTAAAAATTTTTTATATGAACCATTGTTATCAGATATTTTTTAAAATACTCCAGAAACGGACTTTCCTGGCAGTCCAATGGTTAAGACTTTGCCTTCCAATTCAGGGGCTGCAGGTTCAATCTCTGGTCGGGGTGCTAAGATAGGACATGTGCTGTGCTCAATCGCTCAATTGTGTCTTATTTTTTGCAGCCCAATGGACTGTAGCCCACCAGCCTGCTCTGCCCATGGAATTTTCCAGGCAAGAATACTGGAGCAGGTTGTCATTTCCTACTCCAGGAGATCTTCCTGACCTAGAAATAGAGTCTGCATCTCTTGCATACCCCTCATTGGCAGGCAGGTTCTTTACCACTAGCACCACCTGGGAAGCCCCAGATCCCACATGCTTTGGGGCCAGAAAACCAAAACACAAAAACAGAAACAATATTGTAACAAATTCAGTAAAGACTTTAAAATAGTCCATATGGAAAAAATCTTTTATTTATTTTTTTTGGAAAAAATCTTTTAAAAAGTAAATAATAAAATACTCTGGCAGGGTTTCCCTTTTGGTTCAGAGGTAAAGAATCTGCCTGCCAGTGCAGGAAACTGGTTTGATCCCTCGTCTGGGAAGATCCCACATGCCTCAGAGCAACTAAGCCCATGCGCCACAACTACTAAGCCCGAACTCTAGAGCTGGAACCACAACTACTGAGTCCACATGCCCTAGAGCCTGTGCTCCACAACAAGAGGAGCCACCACAATGAGAAGCCCCCACACCACAACTAAAGTAGCCGCTGCTAGTCATGACTAGAGAAGAGCCTGTGCAGAAACGAAGAACCAGCACAGCCAAAATAAATAAAATTATTTTTTTTAAATACTCTTATGTTAAAAAAAAAATACGCTTATGTTGACTGCTCAGTCATATCCAACTCTTTGTGACCCCGTGGACCATAGCCCACCAGGCTTCTCTGTCCATGGGATTTTCCAGGCAAGAATACTGGAGTGGATTGCCATTCCGTTCTCCAGGGGAAGATCCAGGGGATCTTCCCAACCCAGGAATTGAACCCAGGTCTCCTGCACTGTAGGCAGATTCATTACTGAATAAGCCACCAGAGAAGCCCCCCACCCCAAATACTCTAGCACAAAAAAAAAAAAAAATACACATACACGTACATGTGTGCCCACATTTAGGTTGGAATTCTCATGGCTGCATTTTCACTGTGTGATTGAGTGCAAGAGCAGTTATGCCCAGAACATTTACTGAGCATCTGCTGTGTATCAGGCCAGTACAGTCACAACAGAGAATACTACTGATGGGATCCTGCCCTCAAGGGGCTCACAGTCAATTAGGGATGCAACTATTAAATAAGTATATAGTGACAGGTAGTGATAACTACTGTGAAAGAAAATAAAGTAGGGGAAGGGAATCAAGAGTGATGGGAGGGACTTCTCTAGTAGTCCAGTGGTTAAGAACCCATCTTGCAATGCAGGGGACTTGGGTCCCATCCTTGGTCAGGGAACTAAGATCCCACATGTCACAGGGCAACTAAGCCCATGAGCTGCAAATACTAAGCCCGAGCCCAGCAGCTGCAGAGTCCATGTGCTGCAATGAAAGATCCTGCATGATGCAATGAAGATGGATTGCCACAACTAAGACCCCATGCAGCCAAATAAGTAAATATATATTAAAAAACAACAGAGCAATGGAAGTTCTCTTTCATATAGGCTAGTAAGGTCTGACACTTGAATAGAAATGTCTGAAGGAGAGAAGGGGCAAAACCATGGGGGTGTCTGGGAGAACAGCATTCCAGGCAGAAGGAACAGCAAAGGTAAACGCCCTGAGGTGGTAACTTATTTTACAGAGCACTGTGCCCAGAGCAGGGTGGGCAAAGGGGAGAATGGATCCTCTGCTGAGAGCAGATAATGTGTGGTCTGATCATCCCCTCTATTAAACAGTCTATAGCCACAAGGAACTGTGGTCTGGTGAATTCATTCGTAGCCAGGGGAAAATCCTTCAGGAGATGTATAAGTTAGCAGTTGCTGCATAACAAGCAGTCCCGAAATTTACCAACTTAAAAGACCAACCATTGTCTCAATGTCTGTGCATCAGCAATCAGGAGTGGCTTAGCTGGGTGGCTCTGGCTCAAGGCCCTCAGGATATGTTGAAGTCAGTGTTGTCTGGAGCTATGGCCACATCTGAAGCCTCGACTGAAGGAGGGGCTGCTTCCAAGCTCACTCAAATGGTTGTTGGCAGGCCATAGTGCCTTGCTTGCTAATGATCAGAGGCCTTAGGCCCTCCCTACCTATATAGACCTTTCTATACACCACTTGAGGGTCGTCATAATATGGCGGCCGGATTCCTCCAGTGTGTGTGACCTGTGTGGGTAATAAGAGAGAGTGAAAGGGAGGGAGCGAGCAAGAGTAGAGTGAGATTTCCCTAGTGTTTCAGTGGTTAAGAATCCGTCTTCCAATGCAGGGGACAAGGGTTCAATCCCTGGTTGGGGAACTAAGATCCCACATGCCACAGGGCAAATAAACCCAAGAGCCACAACTAGAGAGGAGCTGATGCACCATAGTGAAGAGCACGAAAGATACAGCATGCCGAAAGTAAAACCCAACACAACCAAGACAATTTTAAAAAATTAGAAGGTGGGGGGAGAGGAGTGCCCAAGAAAGAAACCACAGTCTTTTTATAACCCAGTATCAAACTCAACATACCATCATTTCTGACATTTGCTATTGGTCTCACAGACAGAGACTTTCCCTCAATGTAGTTGGGGACTCCACAATAATGTGAATGTTAGGAGGTGGAATCACTGGGGTCCAATTTGAAGGCTTCCCGCCACACTACAGTGCTGAGTAGAAATGCAATGGTTGGGACTTCCCTAGTGGTCAAGTGGTTAAGAATCCACCTTCCAATGCAGAAGACACAGGTTTGAGCCCTGGTCTGAGAAGATACCACATACTACAGGGCAACTAATCCTGTGTGCGACAGCTACTAAGCCTGCTTGCTGCCACTATTGAAGCCCCCATGTTCTAGGACCTATGCTCGCCAACAAGAGAAGCCACTGTGATGAGAAGCCCGCACACCACAACTGGAGAAAGCCCGAGCACAGCAACAAAGACCCAACACAGTCATGAATCCATAAATAAGTAAATAAAAATTTTAAATGCAATAGATGATGCTATCTGCACACTGGTTTACAATAGGTAGAAAACATGCTGTGGAAAACACAAGGTAAGGAAGAAGGGAAGAATTCTAACACTGGTTATTTGGAGTCGGGGGGATTATAGGGGATTTTTCTTCTCTTTCTCAACTCTCTTTAATGAGGTTCTTTGGCTTTTACAATAGAAAATAACATTTTAAAGTAAAAGACAATTGAATTAAGCCTCTGGGTCTAAATTCATGAGAATTACAAAGCATAGAGAAACAATAAAACAGCCTCATGGGAATTCCATGGTGATCCAGTGGTTAAGACTCCTTACTTCCACTGCAGGGGCTGCAAGTTCAATCCCTTGTCAGGGAACTAAGATCCCACATGCTTTGTGGCAGATTCAAACTTAAAACAAAAACCAAAAAACACACAGCCTGACAAGGAAATAGACAAATCCGGAATGTGAGACTTTCTTCAAACTAGCTTACCTGGTTGCTCAAGAAACTCAAAGTTGCGAAAAATAAACAAGATTTTCATCAAAATGGACTAGAAGAATGTAATCTTTACTTGCAGTGCATGAACCTTGATTTGATA